GAAGACTTTGATAATTCCTTAACTAATCTTTTTATTAATTGTTTTTTTTATTAAAATTTTCATCCATTTGCAACCATGTCCAATCTAGTTTAAAAAAAGGATGAAGCATAGTTTCCAAAATATTTTCATCTTCAAAAATTGTCCCAATAAACCTAGAATTATTAAATACTGATTAATTTATTATTAATTTACCTATCTTCAATTCCTTGTAAGGCATTTAAGAGTGGTAAACAAAATTTCAGGTTCATTTGTTTAAATTTTTTTAATTTAATAATGAGCTTGGAAATATGCTTACCGGCGATAGGCACTCCAACAATCTGCTGTTGTGCATATTAACAATGGTTCTATTAAACTTTTAATGATTTCTTTCTTTTCATTCTCCCATCTTTGGGAAATTCTAGCAACCACTGTCTGTCTGCAAATTATATTTTTCTATGGAGCTAATGTTTTGATCATTTTTATAAATGATGGATTTGCAAAAATTGAAAATGGCTGACTGCTATCTATAATAAAATCAGATATTAAATCATCTAAAATAGTATGGATTAAAGTCTGAGGTCTCTTGAAATCAATGGACGATGAGCCTAGTCCAATATTTTCTTTAATAGATTTTTTCTCCTTCCCCTTTTTATTTGGATTAAGAGTGTTTGATGTTTTCTCTTAAAATTTAAATTGTATACATTTATTTAGTATCTATACCCTTAAATGTTTTACAATGTTGCAAGTTGAGGTAATGCTAACTGAAATTTTCATATTTTTTGGGCATGGCAAACATTTTACTAACAGAGATTTGTTTTCTTTATTTTGAGATATTATTTTAAAATATGGTCTATAAATTGGCCATGGAATGTCGTCATTTTCGTCATCAATATTAATCTTAAAAATTAATATAATAGAATAAAATAAAATAAAATAAAATACCGATTCCATTGCATTTAAAAATGGCAAATCCCTTGAGATGGATTGTAATATCAGAATTTGCTTGTTAGTGATAATTCGGACATAATATTTAATTAATATTTATATATTCTTTTTTATATATAAATTTTAATATTTTACATATATATATAATTTTTTAATATATATATTAATATTAATTTATATGCTCATATGAAATAAAATAAATTTTACACTCAATTATTTTTATATATAATATAAAAAAGCGTTAAATTATATCAAAATGTATCTTAAAAAGTATCTAGATACAGATACCTCATATCTAGATACAGATACAGATACTTTAATCAAAAATCTATCTAGATACAGATACCACATTTTTATATCAAGATACTTGTATCTAGATACTTTAACAACTCTGGTGACTTCTATAGGTTATCGTCTTTCCATGGTAATCCTTGCCTCAGCCATTTAGGTAGATTTTGCATCCCTGTAAAATTCCTTTGATGATATTTATCTATATGATCAAAACACAACGCGGTGTGGTCAGGTTCATGGTATACAATTATAAAAAATATTGTATGGGGCAGGGCAGTGGAATGCAGCAAGTTAGTTTATTTTTTTTAAAAGAATCAAGTGTAGGGGAGTATCCGGACTTCGAATTTCATGTTCCATTTTTCATTTGATTTAGCGATAGATTAGCCTAAAATAATATTTAAATTTAGCTTATTTTAAGAATATTTAGGACAAATATAACAAAATCACTAGAATTTCATTAATATTATTTCTCAGTTACACATTAGAAATTTCTACTTTTGTTAGTAAGCTCAGCTTCTTTCGAAGTCGTCATCTTTATTGTCCACAGTTGACAATTTTCTTCTACTAATAATAATAAATTTCAGTATTGCAAGTAAAATGGTTGCTTATATACACTGAAAGACTGAAATATTGTTTACTTTTATTGAATATAAAATAAATTTAAATCTTAAGTTATGTTTTGGATGAAATTAACTTTAGGTACCGCTATAATTTGAAGATTGGGGTAAGAAGCATTTTTTATACCTAAATTAGCAAGATTAGACAAAAAAATTCGTTCTATTCCGGTATCAAATGCATCCAGTGAGCTCCATTTCAGCACTATTGGAAGGGTTATTGAACAGCGAATGACAAATTTGAACAGCGAAATTATTGATATTTTATTATTTAATGATAATTTCAAATTACATTGAAATTTTGTTTATAAGATTGTTATTAATATTATATATTATTTAATTATTAAATAAAATATTATATTTCCATTAGTATTATTTCTGCATAATTATATATAAAATGATTTGATGGGATTAGGATTGGGCAAAATTTCTGAAACTTATCGAGCTTGGATTAGTCTTGGAAATTTCTTTTAATATTAAATTTGGGCCGGGCTTTTAAATTTTATTTTTATTCTGGGATGGGGCTGGGCAACCAAAAAATCAAAACCCCATGAAGGTCTCTGACCTCCGTTACGCTTATAAAGGTCGCGTTCTACTTAAAATTATAAACCTTTTCCGAGCAATTAAATTATGCTCCCCTTGCGTTATTATTTGAACATTTATTGAGTATTTAGGACTATTTAGAGAGAATTTAATGTTTAGACTATCTTAAAAATAATTATACATTTATTTTTATTCATATTCACAATAATTAAGCTTTTATTTTATAAGAATTGAATTATGATTTTTAATGATTTGTCAAACTCAAAACACTTATATTTAATTTATTTTAATGACATTTTAATTTTTTTAAATTTTTTTTAAAAAAATAATTATGACATAATTATTAATCGATTACTTATGGCTATGTTCAACATCTATTATTATTTTAATTCGAAAAGTTACAAAATTTTAATGAAATCGTTTGTTAAATTTTGGAAATTTACGTAAAAAATAGCAGAATTTTGAACATGTTTTTATTTATATACTAAGAGATTATTTATTTATTGTCATTAATGTTTCGAAATTTGGGTAATTTAATTTTTTTGATATTTTAGACACAGTGAGGATATTAAAAAAAAATTACTCTACACAATTAAATCAAAATATATCATCATTTCTAAAGGCTTAGCTTGTATTTACTATTAGATATCTGCAGATGTCAAAATTTTAAATCCTGCCTTATCTCGGATTTAAAAAATTGTATTTTTGAACCCGACCCCGCCAAATCCGGGTTTACCAAAATATACTATAAACATTTATAAAATTCAAATTTCGTCTAATCTGAGTTTTAAGGAAATCTCTAAAATATGACTCATTTATAGTGTGGGTCCTTTTTATTTTCATAGAACCTTATTACCGGAATCTCATTTCAAAATGTGTAGAGCCTACTCGATAAATAAAAGACAACTTTGTCACGTTTTAAATGTTAATTATTTTATCCGATTTTAAATATAAAAATTAAAAATATACAAAAAATAACGAGATTGTCTAAAATTCACGGCTGGTAAAATGTCAGATCTTTCAAAATAAAAAAAAAACCTCTATGAACCACATCTATGAATCATTTTCGCAAATATGCTAAACTATTAAAACATTATATATATTATGAATTATAATTAAGGAATCAAAATTTTTTTCAATCTCTAGTTTATTATAATTTTTCCTTCGCTTATTCATTATAGGCAACCAAATACATTAACTTATGATTAGTGTTGTTAAATTTTATCCATAAAAATACTTTAAGCTTAAAGAAATTTCTCATAGGTGGAGCAAAGATTCGTCCTTTAGCGAAATCTCGAGACGTATGCAGTATTTTTTCTTTGACTAAAATATTAATTTCAAGAATTTAAAAAAAAATTGACTCTAATCGAACCGTTTAGCAACACCATTTAAGATAATTGGCATATTTTACAAAGAACACTAAATGTTTGTTTTGATATTTGTTAAAATTTTTGGATTAGTTTATTAGATATCGACTAGCTGACTTTTAATGTTGTCTCGATTTGCCTTTTTTTAAAAAAAACTGTCGAATCAAGATTTTAGCCAAAAAAATATTACATGCGTCTCGAGATCTAGTCAAAAGAAAATAAATACTTCTTGCCATTAAATGTAAAATCTCGAGACAAATAATATTATCGAAGTTTTCTACAACACAACTAAGTAATAACTTAACTTCAATTTTAGATTGATGCCTATTTTTTTAAATAATACACAAAAAATTTAAGCTTCAACCTATATATGTGACCATAATCTATCTTAACATTGAGGTTTAGACAAGAAAAATAGGAATTGACCTCGGAATTTATTGGCTAAAATTCGAGTTTTCTTTTGATTTTTTTGGCTTAACTCTTAGGTTAAATGTTGATCCGACGCAGAGCAAAAGCGTGTTGTTAAAAAGCCCGATTTGGGTCGTCAACGGCCCGAATAAGATTTTAGCTAAACTAATATTATGTAAGCATCGAGATTTGGCATATAGATGTCCATACATTTCTGTCAGCTATATGCAAAATCTTTAAGCTTATATAATGTTATTTTGTTATACTCTTAATCGGGCCTTTTTTAAAAGACCCGAATCGGGCTTTTTAACAATACTAGCTAAAACAGCCTATTATAATTCAATTAATTCAGGTTTATTTACAAAGTGTACTTTTGATATTCATCGTTAATCTCTTTTAATAAATCAAATTTTTTTTAGTTAATATTAGTTTTACAATATCTTTCAAAAAATGAAAAATCAAGAAAAATTTTAAATCAGAAATAATAAGTTATCTCAATTTTTAAACATTTTATAACCATTTATGAAAATGTAATTTTAAAAAATTTAAATTCTTTTATTGCTCTAACAGTAATTCTTCAAATTTTATTTAAATCATATGAGTTTTTTATTTCTATTGTGAGTAAATGGCAAGTTTTGAGTCTTTTCTCATACTAAAATTTAAGTGACAAGTTTTTTCACAAAAAGTAAACTACGTAAGTCTTCAAAGTAAAATGGTTTAACCTGCTTGATTTATAAAAGACAAATATCAAATAATGTTGCCACTTTATTTATTGTTGATATATTCCGACCGGTTTACATATAGGATTTTGGATATATATATCATACCTTCATAAACTAGGAGAGTAAAAACAGCTGTTTTTTCATATGATCGTCGCGATTTAATTTTTTTTTAAACTTGAATGATAAAAAGTTTATTAATTGCAAATAGAGGGGAAATATGTTGTCGGATTATAAAAAGTGCAAAACTGCTAGGAATTAAATGTTTAGGAGTATATAGTGAACAAGATAGAAATTCCCTGCATGTTAAAGAGGCAAATTATGTTCTTACATATAAATATAATATTTTGTCTTAGTGTGATGAATCATTTTTGATTGGCCCATCTCCTGCTCAACAAAGTTATTTGTGTCAAGATAAATTAATTAGTTTAGCCACTGAAAATCATGTGGATGTAATTAAAAATACTTAAACCGATTTATTTAAATATATATAAGGCCATTCATCCTGGTTATGGATTTTTATCTGAAAATTTTTCTTTTTCTGAAAAATGTGAAAAAAATGGTATAATTTTTGTTGGCCCAACACACAAAGCTATTCATGATATGGGAGTCAAAAGGTATTTCTTAACATCTTAATAAATTTTTTGTAATTGATAAAAAAAATATTTGCAAATTAATTTTTATTCTAGGTTATATTATATGCATATTTTTAGAGTTGATACAATTATCCATTTTACTTATATCTAATAAAATTTAAAAAAAAATATTTCCTAGAGTCCCTTAAGGCTGGCCCATCAGCTCTGCCTGCAATTGGACAATGGTAGCATGATTAATAAAATATACTTTTTTTACTTTATGTGAATATCATAATTATAATCTTTAAAAAAAGAAAAGTTAAAAGAAATAAGGAGTAGGGAAATTATTACTATTCATTTTTATATCATATTTTGTAATAAATAGAATAATATAGACAAACATCATTAAAGTATCACAGTTACTGCCAAATATTTAAATTTATTGCTTAATATTAAAATTGAGAATAAAATAAATTTTTTTTAGTTTGAGATTTCTGGTTTTTTATATTGAGCCACAACAGTCTGAGCTCAGCCTGATCTAAAAAAAATTGCCACCAGACCATGGGCAAGCTTAGGAGCCATTGATGGGCCTATTTTTAGAACCAAATTCACAGGACAAGATATAGCCATCTCTATCCTTTATTTTTTTATGCAGATAATATTTATTCATTATTAAACCACAAAGATAGAATATAATTATAAAATGTATAGGGAAAGGGAAAATAATTTAATTATAATAAGGTACATTGCACACATACGCATTGTAAATAGGCAACTCCCTCCCCATCCCCAAAAATCTAGATGCGGCTAAATATTTTTCAAAAATATTATTGTATATGATTATTAATTTATATTTTATAACAATCATTCCTAATATTCGCAGCAGAAATAAATACTTTTAATTTATTATATGATGATAGGAAAAAATACCTAAAAATCCCAAATCCTTTTTTGTATAAATTTTTTTATAATTAAATATTTTGTGATTTATTTTTATGAATAAAAAAATCTTTCTTCTTTAAAAAGATAATTCAATTTTAATAACTTTTTAAAAGAATTTTTTTTTTCAAACTATCAAATAAGTCTTCACATTCTTAATAACCTGCAAATTTTATTCCACCAAAAAAAAATGTTCTAAAGTAAGTCTTTTTCTTTATGAACTAGTAATAAGGAATAAAAATCGACATTCACTTAAACAATAAAAACGATATAATATTATTATTTCGATAGAGTTCAAAAAATCATGAAGGGAGAACGTTTTTGCCATCTTTTAGGCCAAATTTCGAGGTTCAGATGTCACCTAATATTTTATTTGGCTGGAATTCTTTATTTTTAAAAAAATTATAAATGCATCATATCTATTATAACAACTCTTTGACTAGTCTTTATTTGTATTTGATAACAAATCCTATCCTAGATCAATGACATATACTACTTACCCTGACTATCCATCATTAAAAAGCATTCTAAAGCATTGTTGAATACCAATCAGCTGGTTACGCCATTTTGGTTCCCCATATAATTTTTTTATTATTGTTATATGGATTTAAAAAAATTTTTTTTTTGCAATTTTCATTTCAATTGTTTATACCGGAAGCCAAAATGGCGTGCCACTAGCTGTGTTGTATTGATAAACAGAATGAATGGGTCAGTCTAGATGTTATAAAAGGCCATTTCCCCAAAATACAACCTCTTAGAAAGAAATTTCAGAAATGATATCAGATCGGTTATCACCCGATATCAATTTAATATCGGATAGTGGTAAAATCGGGCGTACCCTTTAATGACGGAACGTTTTAGAGCCAGATCGCCTTACCTAATCAAAATATCGGACTATTGAATATTATTTATTGTATTTATTATATTTTTTAAGAAAAAAAATTGCCACAAAATATATGTCTATTATATCATAGCATATCCAAAAGACTGATGCAAAAAGTGGGTGTTCCAATAATTCCTGGTTATTTCGGTGAAAATCAATCAGATTCGATTCTCCTCCAGGAGGCAAAGACAATAGGATTTCCCGTCTTGTTAAAAGCGGATTATGGGGGTGGTGGAAAAGTTTGTAGATATAATAATAAATTTTTAAATCTCTTGAAAGAAAGAGAGAGAAGGAAGGAATCTCAAAATTCTATTTTATTTTTGTTAAATTATGTTTACCAATGCAACAAAGCAGCTCATGATCGTATTTAAAGTGAAGTAAGCACATAGCCACCTTAAATAATTTATAAATTTGACAATATTTTTTTTATAAATTTATGTTTACATAAGCGAGTATACTATATTTTTTAAGGAATAAAGAAAAAATTTCATAACTCAAAAGGATGGTATTTTTTAGAGACCTCCGAACCGAGCCTAAAAATTTTTTTTTTAAAATACCCGGCCAGGTTAAAGAATATTTTTTTTAAGAATACCCGGGCCGGGTCAAATATTTTAAATCGCCATTAATAAATATAGAAATTAAAAATAAATATAATATTTTATCTGGCCGGGTCATGCCGATGGTATCTCTGCAGGTCTCTGGTATTTTTTCAAAAAAGGGATAACATTCATTCTATTAACAGTATTTGCTAAATCGTTTTCCCCTGAACCGATTTAAAGCTCCAGACTCGAGCCGGAAAAAAGGGCTAGGTCTCGGGATAGGTTCTAAATCGCGAAAACAAAAATCGCTAAAAATTGAAAACATGGCTTATATCTCATAGAAAATTTTTAAAATAAATTTGAAATTAATATTAATAGATACTAGGGGATTAAATACTTGTATTTAAATTGAAAATTTAAAAAAAATCGTTAAAATGGAAGAAATATCATCCAAATTCCCAATTTGATTCCCAAAACTGGGATTTTGGATGATATTTCTTCCATTTTAACGATTTTTTTTAAATTTTCAATTTAAATACAAGTATTTAATCCCCTAGTATCTATTAATATTAATTTCAAATTTATTTTAAAAATTTTCTAGGAGATATAAGCCATGTTCCCAATTTTTAGCGATTTTTGTTTTAGCGATTTAGAACGGGAACCTAGGTCTCGGATCTGACTCTTTCTTTCTTTCAGCTAGATTTACTCGATTTCATAACAATTTAAATAATTGACAAAAAAAATTTTTTAAAAAAGGGCATCAGAATTTGTATGAGCGAACAGGAATTTCAATCCAATCTGGATAGTGTTCGAAACGAGGCTCAGAAGGCTTTCGGGAACGAAAAAATTATGGTCGAGAAATTCATACAAGAACCCAAGTTTTTAACAAAAAAATTAAATAAAATTATATTTAAACTATGTTAATTATTTACTTTATTAGTTCATAAATTATTGTTTTAAGTTATGAAATCATCACTTTAACATGAAACAGGTCTTCCTAAGCTGCCTAGAAAAAAAAATAAACAAGGTTTACACAGTTTAGTCTCACCTTATAGAATGGACAGATGATATTAAAATAAAATACGTAAACCTTTTTATGATTATTATTTGCCTAAATTTCATTTCTTTTTTAAAAAAAAATAAATAATAATAAAGGCATATTGAAATTCAAGTTTTCGGAGATAACTTTGGGAATCTCGTGACTTTATTCGAGAGAGATTGTAGCATACAGAGAAGGCACCAGAAAATACTGGAAGAAAGTCCTGCAGTGAGAATAATTATACCTTAATTAATTTTTAACGAATATTAAGAGGAAATCTCTCCTTTTTTTAAAATTGAGACTTTATTAAATAATCTTGTATTGCAAAATTATCCTATATCTTAATTTTAATTAAAAATATAAGATTTTAGACAGATTTAGGGTAGTTTTAAGCAATTTTGTAATATATAAATATTTTTCTATAAATAATTTTAAAAAAAGAGTTTCTTACCCCCGGATAAAAGAAATCAACTTTACGAATACGCGCTGCAAGCCGCGAGGGCCGTTAATTATTGCGGAGCTGGTAAAAAGTCGTCCATTATTAAATTTTTTTTTAAAATTTATATATTGTAATTTGAATGGATGTAGTAACTGTAAATTTAAAATAGCGGCTTCTATAACTGACATCTTTTTTAAAGTTACGGATCCTATCCTAATCCATTCCACTGTTAACTCTCATATATACGAACCTCGTGCCAGAGGAAATAAACTTGTCTTGTCTAGGTGCCTGTCACTTTAACATTTTGGAAAAAGATGGGCAGCCATTTAATTGTGCTTTAGAATTAAAAAAAAATTTTTTTTTAATAATTAGGAACGGTAGAATTTATGATAGACAAAAGTGGTAAATTTTATTTCATGGAAATGAATACGCGGTTGCAAGTTGAGCACGGGATAACGGAGATGATCACCGGATTGGATTTAGTCGAATGGCAATTAAGAGTATAATATAAAATTTGGTCGATATTAGAAACCCGATAAAATTGTTCATATTATATAAGGTTTCCATCGAGGATCTTCTTTAAAAGAAAATTGAACTAACGAGAACTTAAAACGGTAGTAAAAAAAAACTCTTAAGGAACTCGGAATAAAAAAAATCTAATAGTGGGATTAGTTTTGTAATACGGCTAACCCATTAAGTCAAAAAATGTTGTGCAAGCCTCAAGATTTCGTTAAAACATGTCCAAACTTTTCTTCCATCTATGAATAAAATCTCCGGGCTTGCGTAATATTTTTGGTTAAAATATTGGGTTAAGCAAGCCGTTTAGCAACACTAAATAGGATCCCTTCTTATAACTTTTATTAGATCAGTAAGACACAAAAAATATTATTTCCTTTATTTTCTATAGGCGGGTTACATTGAAAATTGAATTTTTTTATTAACTCTATTCGCTAAGCTAATTTTTATAAAATATGAGGAAAGTGTTTAGCACTTGGAATCAAGTAAAATAGAAGGAAAGTTTTTTCTTTTTTTTTAAAAAAAATATGTAATAACTTTTTAAATTAATAATTTATATATTGAAGTTTGTGTTCTTTTAAAAATCGAATTCAATAAGGATACATTTTCTCTTTTAGGTAAGAGATAAGCGGAAATATAAATCAAAACAAAAATAATTAATCTAATTTTTAGGCGATTCGCATCAGGAATCGGAGTTACAAAATCCATTAATTTTGAAAAACGGGGAAACCGAATTTTTAACCTATTTTTTAAAGATATTCAAATTTAAAATAAAATAAAATTATAATATTCTGGCTTTAACACCAATTAATACTTTAGCTACGGTTTAGATAACCGCCTTAAAATGAGTAATCTGTTAACATCGGAGAAGACCGAAATACATTTTTATAATTTTGTAAACCCTAACCGAACCCTTTTGTCAAATTACCAAAAGAAAAAATCGAACCCGAACCTATATAAATAAACCGTTTTTTTTTTCGAATATATAAATTGTATTTTAAGACTTTTCCTATGGAGTTTTTATTTTGCTTGTATATTTAAAATATAAATAATAATTAAAAGTAGGATAAAATATTTTTCATCTAATATTTGTGTAGCTACATATTTAGTGGTTTTAACTAAAATATGCATTAACAATTTACAAATATCAAATTTCATTTGATTAAAATATTGTTCGGAACACATTATTTTTACTGATAAATTAAAAATATTTTTATAAAATTTTTCCTGAACCCTTAACCGAACCGAACCTTTTCACATTTAAGCGACTAACCTTAACCGGAGCCTTTATAGATAACGCTTCAGGGCCCTGTTTTTTTTAAATTTCTCAAATAAAATTTAAAACTTATCAAAAATTATTTTAATTGTGAAAGAACGTGGAAATAAATATTTGCCATTTTTTCTCTCGTTTCAGATTACATATAAAAACTAAAAAAGAATTCTGTAAATTATAATAAGGTAGCATCTGGACAAAAGTTACCATTATCCCAATCACAGATAAAGAGTGATGGGCATGCCATAGAGTTGAGAATTTGCGCCGAGGATCCTGATCAAGATTTTATGCCCTCACCCGGTCCTTTGAATCGCTTCGTCTTCGATAGAGATGAGCTCGATAAAAATGTGCGCATGGATAGTGGAGTCGTTCAAGGTTTTTTGTATTTCAATTATATATATACTATATATAATGTCATGTCAGTTACTTGAAAATTCTAGCTATGCAGACCAGATCCCACTAAGGCCGATGGCGCTGAAAAATATAAAATATGGACTTATTATGTATCCTTACTAAGAGAATTCCCTTAAGATGTTAGAGGGCTCTGATGACAACTGACATTGCCATTTTTATCAGGCAGCGGATAAATCACGTATCCTCCTTATCCTCGAAATTAGCTATGAATTTTTTAATTAATCGTCGTCTGAGAATTAGAATATTCTATCTCCACTTTTTGTAATGATCATTTTAAAAAAATAAAGTTTCTATTGTTTTCAATAGGATGCATAACCTTGTATCGACTTAATTTCAATTATTTTATAAATATTTCGGATTTTTTAATGTAAATAGATTGGTATTTATAAAAAGTTGGTTTAAGTAAAAAAAATGTCATTTTTGACAAAAAGTGGATAATGTTCAAAATGCCTTTTAACATTAATAGTGTTGTTAATCGACTAAATTTTTATAGTCGAAAGATTTGCTACAGAACTTTAGCCATTAAATTAGTCGTAAAAAATATACAAAATATTAGATTTGGTGTCAACCAGGCACTAAAAATAAACAAATTAAAAAATTTAAAAAAATAAAAATAAATATAATAGAAATAAAATTATAAGCAAATACACGAAATTAGTCCACCAAATTAACTAATTTGGTCCGGAAGAAGTAGACTTTAACAACACTAAAAATAAATAACCAATTTTAGAAAGTTCGTTATTATAGTTTTTATTCAATTAATACAATAAAAGAATTAAATGTCGTTAAAATTTTAATTTAAAAAAAAAATTAAAACAATTTAAAAGGGGATAAACATGTAATCTTAATTTGATTTTAAACAACATTTATTTTTGTGAAATCTTCTACCTGTAAAATTTAAACATAGTATTTAGAAAAGGCTATTTTATCGGACGTAAATATAGGTACCAAATTAGTTTAGTATGCCTGGACAAACGAATTAAATTGGAGAAAAATTAATTTTTATTACAAATCCAAGCCGGCGAATATTTTAAATATAATTTTCATATTCAAATAACCATTTATCTCTCGTTAGAAAATGTAACTAGTTAATAAAAAAAAAGTAAAAATTGTTAATTATTCACTAATTACAATAAATTTTAGTCAAATCACACAATTTTAGTTTGTCCTTATATACTTATTATAGTATACTAAGTAAATAAAATATTTATTAATTTAGGAGACCAATTTATCATTTCTATTTTTAATCAAAAATTACATAAACTATAAGAAAGAATGAAATAGTTCACCATTTAAACAATTATTAAATAGATTAACAAAATTCAACTATTTTATATGGATTATTAAATTTTATAAATTATTTGAAAGTATCTTACAATATAACCAACCCCATCATTTTAATTTTTCCTTATATACTCTATATAAAATAGTTATTAATTTTGGAGACTTATCTTTATAATTTTTATTTTGAGTCCCATCGAACATACAACATACATTACAAAATATAATACATTTCACCAAAACTGAACACAAATGTTTAGCCTTTTTCTTTGTTATTAATTAAGGCTGTGTCTTAAATCTAAAAAATATAAATAAATAATTTTATAAATTTTGAATAAAAAAATAACATATTTTTAATGTAAAAATAAAATAGTGTTCTAAATCATTTTTCGTTATTTACAAAAATTTATTTTTTTATAAAAAATGATAGAAATTAATAAATTTGAATAAAAAAGATTCCAAAATTAATTTATTTGGGTAATTTATGAAAAAAACTAGTATAATATTAAAGTATGCTATTTTGGGTATTTTATTCTCGTTTTTTTGCGTCTTTTTTTGTTTTTTCTTTATTTTTTTTTTCTTTATTTTTTTTGTTCTCTTCGTTTTTTTTGTAAAAAAATAATGGAAATTTCGGACATATTATATAATTTTATTAATTTACGGAAGTTTATAAATTTTGAGGGTTTCTTCGAATCATTTAGGACGCAGCCTAGTGAAAAATATTCTTCATTTTAGAATAAAGATAATTTTATAAGTTATTCGATATTAAATGATTTCATATTAGCTTACTAACGAATTGTGAAATACCGAAATTGGCTTATTTTATTGGGCCAAATTTTTTTTTAAACCAGTGTCGTAAAATAAATTTTAAACCCAAACTGGACCTTAAAAATTTTTTTAAAAATAATCCGGGCCGGGCCTGAAAATATAAAACCCGGGCTGGGCCGAATTTTTTATATATTTTCAAAAAAAATTTAATATCTTATCTTATTTTTCAAATTCAATTTAAAATCCTATAATTATCAAATTTATATATTTTTTGTTTTTTAATTAATTTTATTTAAAAATTAAATATTCGAGGTAAAAAATATTTTATATCTTTAACTTTGTGTGCTTGTTGTAAATATTATGTGATGTTGATTACTTTTTTATAAAGTTTTTTTTAAAAATAATGAATATTGCTTGTTTTTTCTAAAATAATTTTTATTGAATACTATCGATCCACATCATACCTAAGCTTTAGACCCCTGGAGAAAAAACGCTCCAAGCAGCTCATATCCAAATTCTACAAACCAAAAAAACTGGAATTTGTTATTACAGCATTCCATCAAATACTTACACTCAAAGCTGTTCAAATGAATCTCCATCGCTTTTTCTTCATCTAAACCTAATCCCGTGTACACAGAATGACAACAACACGACTCATTCTAATTTAGACTTGTTACTTACCAAAAAAGAACTTAGCATTGCTATCGGTCTTCGATTAAGCTATAAATCGTAACACCGAAATCTTATGTCCTCTGTGACACCCACTTCCATAGCATGAGCCACCACCCTCTACATAGTCTTTTTCCTAAAGGCATATTATCTAGAAACTATTCCATCCATTTGATCATCAATAGAACCTTGAGATTCACAAATATTCCTTCCACGCTGGAGCTCTCTGGCCTCAGCCCTGACATTCAAACACCAAGTCCGATAGATAGCCCCTAGTCTCCTGGAAGTTTACCACTCGCTTGGGATTATACTTCTGTAGATCGTTTTGTCAGATATTTTTCTGTCAAAACTACATAATATAACCACTTAAATAATCTATTGTTCCTTCCAGTATTTTCAGGAACCTGTGTCTCATTTGAACCTCAAGCCCAAAAATTTTTCAAAACAATCAACAGTTACGTTTAATCACAGGTGATCTAAAGGAGGGTTTCTACTTGCGGCAAAGATTATCGATCGAAATTTGCCGATCCAAATGGGGTCATTAAGTCTCGCCAACTTATCCAATTATTTATTTTTTAATAGTTTTTTTTTAAATATATTTTATATTCTATAGATATGGTATGTATATTTTTAGTTTATAATCAGAATTTTGTCTTATTGTAATTTTTTTAAATTGAATTCGAAAATAAAGATTTAAAACACACACACAAAAAAATAAAATTGAATTATATTTTAAAATCAAATTGTTGAGTATTCTTTGTTATATTTTGAAGTTTAAATGTAAGAGAAGGTTTTTGAAACCATTGGAAAATTAAATATTATAAACTTATAAAGAAAATAATTATATATAAAAGTAAACGTATAAAAAATTAAAACTATAAAAAAAAATTGAAGTAAAAAAATTAAAAGTACCAGTACAAAATTAATCAATTTGTAATATCTAAAAATGTAAACAACTTTCTTCAAAATTAATATCATCTTTCTATTTATATTTATACATTAAATTTTAAACAAATAAAAATTCACATCATCTATTTGCCTATTTATGAGCTACCACCGTAGTTTTTTCCTCCAGAGTATACTTGGTGATAATTTTCCTTTTTGATTTTATATTTTCTGATAAAAAAAACAGCCTATTTAGAATCATAATAACGTATGCAATGCAGATTTGTAAGTCAACTATAATTATTTAAAAAAAAAGGGATATATGAGATTTAATAATTGACTTTATGGATATTTGCCAAAATAATCTATAATTCTCGAATAGTTAATACTTTTTTAAAAAAATTTTTTATATAACATGTTCAATTATGTAATTTTTGAATTCAAAAAAAAATAAATAAAAAATTCAATATTTATCATTTCTATATGTAAGGATAGAAATAAAAGGATGTTATTATTTTTCCTTTCTCTATCTAAATTAATGATTGCAATTGTTTTTATCATATTGTCGTAAATTATAATATATTTTTATATATTTGAAATGTCAATCATTTCAAATTAGATTTTTTTCATCGTTTTTGATGAAAAAAGATTTTCGTATCATTAAATGTTTTTTTATGAAAATATAATTAATTGTTTTTTTACAAAAATTGCTAATAAAAAAAACCTTACGTTTCTTTGCGATGTTTGTAATTTGAATAAGTTATTTCTATATTTAGATCTTTGACAGTTTGGATTGTCTGCTCAATTTTGATAGTTATTTTTATTTAGTTTTCTAGTTTGTCATTTCTATTTCTATTTTTATTTAATTTCGTCTTTTTTTGACACATATAAGAAAGCAGTAATAAATAAAATTAAATCTTTCATTTAAGTTAATACTAGATGGCTTAAATTATTTATTATTAAAAATAATTAAAATAAAAAAATCAAATTTTATAATATTTAATCCGCTAGGTAGCGTTTATTACTATTTAATAAATAATTGAATTATAAAATAATTTTACAAAACTAATAAATTTGGGTCAATTTTTCAAAAATTAAACATTTTATATTAATCATATTTTTATAATTATCAAAATTTAAATATAATCAATTATAGCATAAAAATATATTTTACTGGTAAATTACTTTAAATAAATATTATTTTTACTTGTAATATAATATAAATAATTCAAAAAAAAAAATTTAGTAGTTAAAATATTGAAAAACATATTTATTTTACACTGAATCCTAAGATACAGGGATACTGACATGTTTGTATTACAATTTACTTTAACAAAAAATTTCAATATTATTATTTTATAACACATACTGATGATTTATTTTTTGAAAATAAAATTAGGAGACGAAATTTCGATATATTACGACTCTATGATAGCTAAATTGATGGTTTGGGGTATTAATAGACCCGTCGCCTTGCTCAAGCTCAAAAAAGCTCTTAACTCTCTATATGTATTTGCCAATAAAATTAATATAATATTTATCAGAGACCTGCAGAAGTACCATTTGTAGACCCGACCAGGGTTTTTTTTTAATTTTTGGCTCGTCCTGTATTTTTAAAAATATATTACATTTATTTTTAATTTTTATAGCTAATAATGACGATTTAAAATATTCGGTTTTAAATTATACAGCCCGGCCCAGGTATTTAAAGAAAAAATTTAGGCCCAGCCCTGGTATATTTTAAAAAATTAAGGACTAGGCCTGGCCTACGTGTCTCTGATATTTATTATACCACTTACTTAAGTTTCCCTTTTAAAACATTTATATCAATATTAAATATATTTAGATAAGCGGTGTTAAAAACAACATAGCATTCCTGAATTCGCTACTTGCTCATCCACATATCAATTACGAGCAGAAATTAAATACCGATTTCATAAAATTGGAGTCTCGCGTTCTAAAGCAAACTTTAGGCTCGATATCTAAAGAGGGTCTCGGTGAAATTTTAGCGCAAGCTTCAATGGCTCATATTTTGAGCAATGATTCTTCTGTTATTAACGGGAAAGAGCATAGATGTTAATATATTTAATTTATTAATTTTAACTCTAAAAAATAAAGAATATTTTGAGATCTAGTTTGAAACAAAATTTTTAATTTTGGGGATTTGTTTTGCTTTTCAAAAATGTAGCTTTAATTTTGCTATTGGTTATATTTTTTCTTAAGTTTATGGTTGATTTTGAAATTTTGTGTAATGGAATTAATTGAAAAATAATATTTAAATAATTAAAAAACTAATGTAAATTTTAGTATAGTCGGAAAATGGGGTTAAAATTAACTTAAACCTTAACGCCCTATGAAAAGTAACTTATAATTTTTTTGAAACTAAAATATCAAAAATTAGCAGATGAAATCTAATAATCTGTAGATTCATTTGCTATGAACCATTTCCAGACAGAACGTTTTTTCAAAACGGTTTTTAGGTAATGTTACCAGAAATTTTTTTTTAAAGTATAATATAAAATAAATTAATTCTAGAATTTAACATTTTTTTCGAAATAAAAAAAAATGCTGGTAACATTAACTAAAAACCGCTTTAAAACGTTTTGTCTGGAAATGGCCATAGAAATAAAATCTATAATATATGTTTTTATATAAAATTGAATTTTTGTTTTGTTTATAGTTATTTTGCAGTTCATTTGAACCTTGATTAATAACACCTTTTAAATTCTATTAATAGGTGACCCATTTTCTACATACAAGTGGTTCCGGTTAAACACAAATTATAAAAAAGATATGAATCTACAACATAGTGGATCAGGTTTTGTATTTAATATTATAATATAAATAATAATTAGCAATGTACCTTTCGATTTTCGTATTTAGAATACAAAGTTCGAATCACATTCTTAAAAGATAACACATACCTAATAAAGGTAGGAGATATATTCGATAAAGTGATTAAAGTAGATGACCAAATATTATATACAAAGTCAGTATCCGAATTAAACTGGAGTGATGGCCCTAATAATCAACTCATCAAATTTATAAAGGATGATGATATAGTCATTTTAAATTCCAAGGTATAGCTTAAAAATATTTTTTTTATTGAGAAAATGGCTCTCAAATACTAAAAATGAATTTATTTATTTTAATACTTTTATATTTATAAAAAAAATTTGCTTAGATATTATCAATTTAGCTTGAATATTTTAATTGATTAGGGCATTCAACATGAAATCAGAATACTTCAAACCGATGATAGATTTGTGAGTGATAAGAATGAATCAAATATAAGAGGACTTAATTACGTAGCTCCAATCACTGGAACAATTGATAAAATTTTGGTGAAAGTCGGTGATACGATAAAATCTAATCAACCACTTATAATCATATTAGCCATGAAAATGGAAGTAAATATACAGAATTCATTAATTTCGAAAGAAAGTAGGATTGAGTAATTAAATTTACAAAATTATTTATAAAATTAATACTTTAAATAGTGGGTAACTATTAAAATATGAAATCCTTGATATAAACCTAAAAATATAGCTAAATTTCAAATAATCACACTGAAAAACAAATAAATTCGAAAAGATATTAACTATTTTATATCTATGTATAAAATATTTAATGATTTTACTTTCATCATAATTTAATAATGAAATACAACAATCCATATAATTTATTAACAGGATACTTATAGTTATATTATATAAAATAATAAATATTATAATCAAGTATCTCTTTAAATTAGAACGTGAAGATTTTGAAACTGATATACTTTTAGATATTTTACATTTAGTATGGATAGAATTAGTTTACTGAAGATATGATGTTACTCTAAAGTATTTATTGGTAATGTTAATTCATCTGTCTGAATTTTGAATCAAATGATGATAATGAAATAACAGCATACATGCTTAAGCTAATCTATAAATAATATTCATATTAATAACCTATACTATAGGACAAAAATAGTGGCTGGTTAAAAAATTCAAAAAATTTATTAATAAGAATTTTTATTTTTTTATTCACTTTGGCTAATATATTGTGTTAAAAAAATATATGGTATTTAATTATATTTAACGCATTCGATTTTTTTAGAAATGTTTACATCATTAATACTAAACGATAAAATATTATGGGTGAAGGTTTTTTAGAAAAACATGCATATGGTGAATTCCATAAATCAACATGAGTTTCAACCTGATCTCCTCAGATTTTTCTACAATTTTTATAAGAGTTTATATATATTTTTATAACTAAGAAAAAAATAAAAATTTTTCAAAAGATAATTTTAATATTAACGATGATTGTGAAATCTTTTAGCAATTGAAAAATAAATTTAAAACAACACTTTCAGAAAATGAAAAAATTCAGATATTGACTGTTTTACCAAATTCTTAGACCTTAAAAACAAGAATTTTCTACGACTGAATCCATAGCAAGGATAGGAAAAAAATTGGTCAAGGAAAAGGGTGCATTATCCAATCCAAATATTATCAAAATTTCATAATTCCGATTAAAAAAGGTTAAAAGAGAGAACCAATCAAAGAAAATTTTATAATTTTAAGCAAACTTATATTATAAGTCAACTTTTTGCAAATTTAAGACATTTTTTTTAAACTAAAATGATTGGTTTTCTTAAAATCAAATATTTTTTTTCTGATCGTGTAGTAATCAATATATAAAATTCATAATCTAAGCCATTGTGAAATTGATGGCTCAAACGGAATGACATTTTTTCGTAATAACCCATGGCAAGCATTACCAAAGGGTTGAGAAAGAGCTACCTTCAGCGTCCATATGAGAATCAAATATTAAACACCTTAGATGCATTTAATTTTTATAAAGCAAAATATCACTGGAATTAATTTCGCGCATGTAAAACTTGATAAATATGAAAAAATATCTTGTTCAAAAGATCAAACTTATTCCCGGAATCAGAAGTTTCATATTTTTATGCCACTTAGGGAAAATTAACTTAAAGTTAAACCATTTTCATTATATAAAAATTAAATTTTACCTTTCATAAATTATAATCAAAAATTGATTTGTATTTTTTAATTATTTTTATGAAAATTCAACTTATCATATAAATTAACCTAACCCCCTTCCCCCCCCCCCTCCGAAAAAATTTCCCCCTTAGATTATAAATAACTTCTTTTAAATATTAAACATGAAATATTTGATAGCTTTTGACTTATATTACAATTATTGATTAATATCAAATATTTATTTAGAACATTTGCAATAGACTAATGATTAAAATGCCATATCTCCTAAAATTATAATCGGCCCAATTGGAAATTTGCTTATATTAATCCTATATCTATATAACATGAGAAAAAATGCCGATTTGTTTTTTAGTAATTTCCGGTTTATTTAATATTTTTTAATAATTAACATTGTTTAACTTTAAAGGTCTATCATTGGGCTATATAAAGAAATTTAAGTGACGCTTCTAAGTCAATTATATCCAAAGATATTTAAAATTAAAGGGAGAGCATTTCGCCCAAAATGCCCCATTTTTTCGACAGAGACTAATGAGGGAGTAGGGCTAAAAATATTTTTTTTGTTGATTTGTCATGGAATTTACCTATAACCAATGGCAATAAGATTTTTTGATAAATTGCAAGTAAAAAATTGGCAGAATATATCCCAATTTTGTTTTATATACTAAAATAATCTAAATTGGAATCAAATTCAAGACATTTGATTAAATACTATGATTTATGAAAGTTACAAGTTTTTATAATTGTTAAAGCCCTACATTTACCTATTTTTTCTAATCCAATATTCACGAAATTTATTTTATAAAATATAAAGACCAAAATTTTATTTTTGAAATATGTCAAATCCAAAATTTTTAATATATTGCTGTTGAAAAGGTCACTGAATGATAATTAACAAATTTATCTATTAACACTTTTTATAAGTTTTATCTTCTGGTTCTGGGTATTGAATAATATTTAAAGTATCAGTGGATGCTAATTGATACCATGAGTATTGGCCAACATGCATCTCTGCAAACCTAAGAGAGGCCAAAATTTTAGAAATAAATTTAAATTAGAGCACTTCAAATTAACAGTCAGGCGTGGGCACAAAATTTAAAAATAAGGCTATTTAAAAAAATATATAAGGTCCTCACAATAAAATTTAAAGAATTTCTCGAGGACAATAGTGATTATATTTAATATATTAAAAATTATAGGTCTTGCTAGGTGGCATAGAGCAAAAATTCAGGTTTAAAAAATATTTTTGGGCTAAGCTCAAAAAAAATTCCGCCAAAGAGTTAAACCCTTCTTGGTAGGTAGAATTACAATGTCAACCAGGCCCTGCTGATCTGGTGTTGTTAAACGGCTCGTTTTGACCCGTTTTAAAAAAGGCTAACTCAATATTTTAGCCAGAAAAATATTGCCTAAGCTTCGAGATTTTAATAATATATATCTAGACCTTTGCTCCTTCTATGAGCAGAATATTCAGACTTACTTAATATTTTTCTGGATAAAATATTAAGTTAGCCATTTTTAAAAATCGGCTCAAAATGAGCCGTTTAGCAACACTATGCTCACTATGAAACCTTCCAAATCATTTTTAAAACTTAAAAGCCAATATTTATAAACTAGTTGAGATTAAAAAATAGATTAATTAGTCTTTTTTATGATAGCATTAATATATGCTCATATAAAATTTCCATATATTTAGTATATTATTAGGTCCTCAAATGAAGGAACAATCTCCAAAATAGACTGCAAACAAGGTGACTTAGTACAAAAGAACAAACTATTAATATGTTTAAATTAATCAAAGATCATATTCCTATTTACACATTATTATGATATTATTTTATTTAAATAAAAAAATAATATAAAACATGTATTTTGATTCACTATAAAAATGAATTGATAAATAATATTAATTCTCTATCCATGAACTTGCCACACTCTAATAATATTATCAGTGTACCCAGCAAATAAAGTTTGACCATCAGCAGACCAGGCCAATGATATGCAGTGAGGAGCTTTTTGAGGTTTATCTGTTTTGGTAGATGATATAACTTCAGGTCTCAAATCTTCTTCCAATCTTTTTTCTTCAAGATCCTTTAAAATAAGTTATTTGTAATATTAAATAATAAATCATGTTTACCCAAATTTTAATACTAGGACCTGCTGCAGCACATAGCCAATATCTATTAGGGCTAAATACTAATGCATTTATAGTATCCTTTGCATCCAAAGTATAAGAGTGTTTATTATCATTAAGATCCCATAACATTGCCAAACCATCCTTTTGAGAAATAAACATTTAAAATAAATAGTATATAAATAATTTTAATACTTTTCCTCCAGAGGCACATAATGACCCATCTGGTGATACAGTCACAGTATTTAAATATCCAGTGTGCCCATGATGGTTTACTTTTAATTTACAATTTGATAAATTCCAAACCTTTAATATAAACTTAATAAAAATGGCTTTAATAAATTTAAAAACCTTAACAACTTTGTCCCAGCCAGCTGAAACTATAACAGGATTGGCTGCACATGGTGAAAATCTTACACAAGATACCCAATCACTATGACATTCATCCTAAAAAAAGGATTATTTTTATGTTTACAATAAAAAACCTGAATTGTATATTTGCAGGCACCTAAGATATTCCATAATTTTATTGTATGATCTCTAGAGCCTGATATTATTTGACGATTGTCACATGAAAATGCAACACTTAAGACATCTTTTGTATGTCCTTCAAATCGTTTAGTTGTAACACCACTACATAAAGGATCATTTTATTTAAATGAGAATGTATTAATTACGAATCAAGGTCCCATAATCTAAGCGTCTTATCCCATGATCCAGATATGGCAAATTGACCATCTGTGGATAAAACAACATCAGAAACAAAGTAATTATGCCCGTGCAATGATCTATGTGGATATCCATATTGTTGATCATCCCTCGTTAGCTTCCATGTTATCAGCGTTTTATCTAAAATAAGTTTACTTTGTTGAAAGTTTTTTATTTTACCTCTAGATGATGAAACGATAACATCAGGGTACATAGCGTTTGTCGCAATTTGAGTAACCCAGCCATTATGTCCTATTAACTTGCCTTTCAATGATATTTTAGTAGTGGATTGAGCCATGATTTACAAAGTGGAAATCACGATTTCAAAGCTGATTTTCATTTAAAATATTTTCACCAAATAAACTCGGTTAGTAAATCTTATTATTAGAATTTTAAATGTCTAAATATAAATATCTTTAATATTTAAGTAATATTTTAAAATACTAAAGATAAGTAAACGTTAGAGATGAAATATTACATATTTAGATGTTATTAACGAATAAATCAACTGTTAATATTATCTTATAAAATAATATGAACATTATAATATATCACTTAGTAATTTAAAGATTATTCATTTTTAATATATTGCTTACTAATTAAATTAAAGTATTGTCAAATAATAGCAAAATTAAAATTTTATGTGGGTAAGAGGGGGGGGCAGTTATAATATATGTTCTGTAAATAGTATAGAGACCTCAAAAGAATACATCTACTAGTGAGTCTTAAAATCAGTGGCGTCGCTAGGGGGGGGGCGCAGGGGCTTGAGCCACCTGGAAAATTTGAATAGTGCCCTAAAGCAAAAATTTTTTTTAATTGAATCTTAACCACTTTAACTAAAAATAAATAATTTTGATTGCCCCCTGAAAGATTTCATTTATAATTCAATTAAGAAAAATATAGATTTAACTTTAAACCCTAATTAAATAAATATAATCATTTATTAATTGAAAACTAAAAAATTTAATATTGTAATTAGCAGAGTTCAAAATGACTAATCAACTGTATATTTATTTTTAAATTTTATTATTATACCTATTCAAAAAAATATTTTTTAGACCCAAATAAGTATAATATAGGCGTAGCCATCAGAAATTTATCATTTTTTGTGAATATCATTTTAAGCTAATAAAAAATATCCCCCTTTGTCCTTTCCCCACTCCTTGACCCCCAAAAATGTATTCACTTATCTTAAACAATAATTTGAAAGAAAGAATGTAAAAGTTGATATTTTTATAAAACTATTCATCATAATTTATACATTTTTGGAGAAATAAAACATTTTTTTATAAAAAGTTAACCAAAAATGTTTTTTAATAAATGGAATATAAGCCAAAGATAAGTCTTAAGACAAAAGTGAAATGTATTATAATTATTAAATAAATCCATAAAATTACTAAATAATATAATATATCAATTATAATTTTTTATAAAATGAGTAATTTTAATTTATTTATCTTAATAAAAGTAAAATATAATTATAAAACTATTGATAAAATTAAATAAAAAATTTAAACCACAATACAAACAGTGGAATATTATATGTCAGTTTATCTAATTTTATCAATTATCATATGACAATCAAGTAATTTTTACCAATATAGCGAATTACATATTTTATAGAAAACTATTAAATATTGATAAGGACATCAGGAAATATCTTTTAAAGACATTGTGGGATGAATAATATGAAGATTAATTTTTTATCATTTTTTATTTGAAATAAATAGATGGCGTTAAATAATTGTTGCTATATTTATTATCAAGAGCATTGATTAGCAAAATTTGTTAAAATATTAACTCTAATATATTCTCTAACTTTCAAATATGTCTGTAAAAGTGGAATTTTACCTAGTATTTTGTAACTAATTCTATATAATAGAGGAATATCAACTATATGTCTACTTACTTTTTATAAATAAATTTCTTATACTTGTTTGGAATAAATTATTACCATGCTTTTATATAAATGTATATACAAGTAATTTATTATATTTTATATAAACTAATAAAAATATGTTTCATATTTATTTTTTTTATTAAAATTAACCTCCTATCTAGTAATTTAATGACTGTATATAGACTAAGGTAACCCAGCCGAAGGCGAGGCAAAAGCGGGCCAAAGGCCCGCCAAAATGGTCTGGGGGCGAAGCCCCCAATAATTTTAATCCCCCCCCCCCCCGAGGAAAATCCTGGCTACCCCTATGAAGTATAATAAAAAGTAAGTAAGTAGACATATAGTTTATAATCCTCTATTATATACAGTTGTTATAAAATTAGATAAAATGCCACTTTTATAGACGTATTTGACAGTTATAATATATTACAGCTAATATTATAATGAATTTTACTAATAACTGCTTTTGATAATAAATATAGTAACAATTTGCTTTTAAGTATTAAACGCCAGCTATTTTTTTATAAAAAATTTTAAAAATAAAACATTTTATTATTCATCCTAATAAATTTAATATCTTTTCTTTTCTTTTTAACGTTAGGAAAGCTATTTTTTTCTTTTTCAAAAAACAGTTTTGAGTTAAATTTTTAATACAAGTATATTTTTTATATTTTTACAAACTACTATTATTTTAAGATATAATATACCAACTAGAGGTGGTGGGGCAATATATAAAATCTTAATTGTTTCATCATATCATTCTGGTCCTTATTTTATAGTTCCATAATGTTTCATATCTAATATGGCATCCCTGCCGTGTAAATAACTCAAGGCTTCATGCACAATTATTTCTTCGAAAAATTTTTAGTGTTTTTATTTTATCAATTTATCCAATATAATAAATTCTGATACTAGTTTACATCGTGAGGTGAGGCAGCATCTATTATTTGTGTTGCTATGTAATTTATGATTATTACTACAACGGCTGAAACCATATGATTGCATATTTTAGATAAACAATAATGGTTAACGGTGTAGTCGGTTATATATTATATATCATTTAAAAGGGATGATAATCTTTTAGAAATTTAATATCTCACAATAATTTTCTCGATTACTAATCTAGCTACCATCATGTCATCTAAAAGGAAGCTCTAACCTCATAATAGTGTTATGATTTGGAATAGTCATTTATACCATAGGCGTATCCAGGATTTTTTTAAGAGGGAGGGGGAATTAAAAATTAAGTGGGAGCTTCGCCCCCAGACCCCATTTTTGGCGGGCCTTCAGCCAGCTTTTGCCTGGCCTTCAGCCGGGTTACCTTAGTCTATATACAGTCATAAAATATTTTTACAATATAGGAGGTTAATTTTAATTAAAAAAACAAATATGAAAAATATTTTGTTAATTGTGTTGTTTATTCAAATTTGTGAAATAATTTATTGAGTATTAATTTAAATGTTTTGTTATATATACCAGTTGATTGAAATGTTTTAGTATATATACCAGTTGATTATTATACATGTTATTATTATTATAATTTGATTTTTTAAAAGTAGAAATAAAATTTATTTAAAACAAAATATAACTAGTTTTTTTCTTGTTTCTTTCATATTTTATTAGTTTATATAAAATATAATAAATTACTTGTTATTAAAAAACATTTTTGGTTAACTTTTTATGTATACAAATGTTTTTTTCCAAAAATATAAAATATAATAAGTTACTTGTTTTTAAAAAACATTTTTGGTTAACTTTTTATATATATATAAATGTTTTTTTCCAAAAATATATAAATTATGATGAATAGTTTTATATTTTACATTCTTTCTTTCAAATTATTGTTTAAGATATATGCATACATTTTTGAGGGTCAAAGAGTTGGGGGAGGACTAAGGGGAATATTTTATTAGCTTAAAATGATATTCTCAAAAAGTGATAAATTTCTAAGGGGAAGATTTCCCCTTGACCCCCCCCCCCTGGCTACGCCTATGCTTTATACTATCTTCTTCAAGAATTGTTTATTTAGTTTAGGCCTATAAATTTTTTCTAATTAGTCCATGCTATAAATGTGTAAAATGGTAACAGATAGTTATATTAGTTTGATAACCTTTTGTCAATGTAATTTTATAAGAATTATATTATTGCATTATGTGATTTTTAAAAACTATTATCAATTGAGGCATATGTATGAAATAATTAATCTTCTTCATCACTTGTAATTCTTTAAACGCAAATTTTTTTATATCAGTAATCGAAAATATTTTATAGATTTTGTAATAAAAATTTTATTTTTAGAAATGTCTTGTATTGTTTTAATTATTTATATGCTAGTTTAATTTGTATGCATAATATAATAAATGAGAAAATTAAAATTCAGAATAATTGTTCAGAGTTAACAAATTTAAAAAAAGTATAATATATTAATATAAAACCCGGCCAAAAGCCGGGCAAAAGCGGGCCGAAGACCAGCAAATTGAAGAGTATGGGGGCGAATCCCCTCATATAATTTTTTTAGTTTAGCCCTAAAGGCTAGCGACGCCCCTGCTTGAAATCTGGCAGCTAATTTTAATTAGAATATTATAAGCAAAATTGCGTAGCTCGGCAATCTTTCCCAGACAGCTACTATATAAGAGAGAAAAACTTGAGGTACTATGACTGATATTTACCCTTTACCCCAAAAATATTTTTTACTCCCTATCCAACCTGGGATTCAATATAAATGTTTTATTTAAGTTAAAATTGAATTTATGATATATTAACCACTTCGTATTGAGTGTTTTTATATTAACTAAGTCGATTATATTTATCTTTAATACATTAAATAAAATCAAGAAGAATTATAATTTAAATTATTAAATATAGAGATTAAATAAAATTCCTTAAAATTTTAAATGTAGGTAATTGCAAGAGAACTCCAATTTTTGTAAAAGGGAAATCAGAAAAACCCGAATTATTTTAAGATAATTGTTTAATGTATTAACTATCCCTTTGTCCCTTAGGATTTAAATCAAATTTTATGTAAGAATTTTTAAAAAATTAATCATCAAGTAAATAGTTATCCACATTTTCTTGTTAAAAATTCATCATCAAGTAAATAGTTATCCACATTTTCTTGGCTTACAGTGAATTATATTTAAAGCAGAGTGACAAGTGAAAACCATTACTTATATACAAATCCTCGCTTCTTGAAAATTAATAGACTCATAATCTACCAATGGGCTACATGACTGCAAAATAATAAATATAATATTGGTTACCAAGTTTAAAAATATGTATGATTTTTAAAGTTTTCAAAATGTATTTGAATAATAAATATTTAAAACTATGTATTTGATTTTGCATGTTTTCAAAATGTATTTGCTTATGACTGCATTGGATATTGTCGCTAAAATGTAATTGATTGTTTATGGAATATATGGCGAGCGCTAGCCAAACAATGACATATTAAATAATTGTTAATTGTGTTGTTTATTTAAATTTGTGATCAGCTGAAATAATTTATTTTAATGTTAATTGAGTATTAATTTGAATTTCTATTGAAATGTTTTAGTATATATACCAGTTGTTGTTATACATATTATCATTATTATTATTTGATTTTTTAAAAGAAGAAATAAAATTAATTTAAAACAAAACATAACTTGTTTTCTTCATGGTGCCCAGGCACGTTTTTGTAAATAAAAAATAAAATATATAAAATTTGCCTTAAAATTAAAAAAAAAAGTAAAAAGAAAATTAAATTCGAAGGACATGACTTGTTTTTTTCTTCTTTTTTTTTTAAAAAAAAAACATAGTCAAATATTATTCTGATATATACATATACAAAAGGTAAAATTGCGTGATCACAAAATGTTAAAACTTACAATTTTACGCCAATTTATATTTTGATACGCTTATTATGCTACAAATTATAGTATATAAATTGAATACGAATTACACATTTTTTCATGTTATAGTATTTTCTGATCTATTTTGATAATTTAAATATAAAGACATAATATTATGTGATTTTCTTTTATAACTTAAAATTAGAGATTTAGAATAATCTAGTTTCTTTAAAAACTTAAATTTAAGAATTATTCAATTTCCTTTGACGACTTAAATTCAATGAGATTGTCTAATTTCCTTTGACGACTCAAAATTAAAGCATAAGATTTTTTTTGATTAGCTTTGACAATATAAAATTTAAAGACATAGAATTATTAAATTCCGTTTGACGATTCATAACTTAAAACATATAGTATTTTCTTAAAGTAAAATTTTTATTATGGACAATAAACTTAATGCTAATTATGGACAATGCCCTGGCTCTGGGTGGTGGACTAGAATGAGATGACTACCTAATCTATTGACATGATCAATGCCTAATCTATTGAGATGACTGCTTAACTTGTTGAGATGACTACCTATTGAGATGACTACCTTATCTATTGATATGACTGCCTAATCTATTGAGATGACTGCTTAACCTGTTGAGATGACTATCTATTGAGATGATTACCTTATCTATTGATATGACTGCCTAATCTATTGAGATGACTACCTAATCTATTGATATGATCAATGCTTAACCTGTTGAGATGACTACCTTATCTATTGATATGACTGCCTAATCTATTGAGGTGACTACCTAATCTATTGATATGACCAATGCCTAACCTATTGAGATGACCACCTAATCTATTGAGATGACTACCTAATCTATTGAGATGACTACCTAATCTATTGAGATGACTACCTAATCTATTGAGATGACTACCTAATCTATTGAGATGACTGCTTAACCTGTTGAGATTACTACCTATTGAGATTGTAAAGAGGGAAGTGTAGACATAAGTAAAAATAGTAAGATACCTTTCAGACCATCAAGAATTAAACAAAACCCTCCTTATTTAAAAGATTTTATAACTTAAATTATTAAAATAAAATATTAAAACGCAACTTAAATTATTAAAATAAAATATTAAAAAGCAAATTTTATTATTAAAATAAAATATATAAAACGCAAAATTTGAAAAAACGCGAAATATTATATAATAATTTTTTTTGATTTATCATTCTTACGGAATTCTACATATTTATCATTCTATATTCCAAATTTAAAATTTTATTCCGTATTCCATATATTCAAATTTGATCAATTATTCCTATGATAATGATAACGTACAGCAACTTATCAAACCTACGAAAACGTATGGACTCACGCGACTCAAACATAGACTTATGCGCCCACCGAGCAGCAACTTGATACTTTGTCGAAGAGGGGAATGTTAATTGTGTTGTTTATTTAAATTTGTGATCAGTTGAAATAATTTATTTTAATGTTAATTGAGTATTAATTTGAATATCTATTGAAATGTTTTAGTATATAAATACCAGTTGATTGTTATACATATTATCATTATTATTATATGATTTTTTAAAAGAAGAAATAAAATTAATTTAAAACACAAATTTAACTTGTTTCTTTCAATAATACTTATCCAGACTATCGATTTATTTAATTAAGTGCATTACAAAGTGATGTGGAATACAGATCAGAAGGCGACACGTCATTTCGGTTCCCTGTATAAAATTTATAAAATGGAATATATATATAAATCTACCATTAAATTTTAATATAAATTATTTACATGGGAAACTAGAATGGCGTTCCGACTGATCTAGTCACATATAAATTTAAGAATTGTCAGTCTAGATATTATTATTTCACGAGGTCTTAGGACTTAATACATTGAAAACCATCAATGACTAGGAGTCAAAAAAACAAGCTGGAACGTTGACTAAAAATAAATGATTATTTCATGATAAATTCTTATTTATATCATTTTTATTCTAAAAATTTTGTAAAGGACACGCTATATTTCTCAATATTTTTAGAGGACCGCGTGACCCTCCTAATCATTATTGGTACATCATAAATTTGTCTATTATGTATCTTATTTGTATTCACAGATTTCTCTGATAAATTAGGCATGATGTTAAATTTTGGATGATAGATTAAAAAAAAATACCTTAAAGAAGCGAATTAATTGCAATCTTAAAGAATAAAACTAAGTCAAAGGGAAAGATTTATAATATAAAAAAAAATATAGCTTTAATTTTTGAATAAAATTTTAAGTTTATAACTGAAGCGGAAAAGGCAGATATATTCCATAACACTAAGCAAATGCTCAGCATTTTCAAACTCTTAAAAATCTCTAACTTAATCGTTAATTTTTAAATTTTTTAAACCATTTTCCATTCCTTAAAGCCATTTATACACAATAAAATATCAGTTTAGATTATTCTTAGACAATTTTTGAATTCTGACGTTCTTACCAGACAATTTTTTTCAAACAAAGAAGTATGCTGAAAATGATTAATTTAATCAGTTCAAGTGAGCATTTATAAAACCTATTGCTTACATTCTAAAGTACCGCGAATATTTATATCTAGATATCTTTTTTTTATCTTGTAATATATCTTCTTGATATTTTTAATAAGATATTTTATTTTCAGAAGAATCTTTTTCATTTTCTTGACAAATGATACAAATACTTTTTTTTATTTATGCTTAAAAAATTAAAATAATCTAAATTTTTCTTTCCCTGGTTCATAATTAGAAAAATTTATAATACAAAAAAATCTATAACTTATTTTAAGATTGATAAATAACTACACCAAAAAATTAAAAGCATACATTTTATATATTAATGCAACTGAATAGTATACCATAATTATATATATTTTAATTGATAGAATGATCAAAACTTATGAAAATAAAAATGATAAATCAATTTAAAATAAGTTCTACCAAATCAAATCTTAAAATAAATGGAAAATATCTTAAAATAAGTTCCCCAAAATCTAATCTTAAAATAAATAGCGATTGAATGCCAACTGTAAAGCTTGGCCAAGCCTTACAGGTAAAAAACTTAAATAGCGCACTTTACCCTTAGTTGCTATTAAAAATAATCTCTATGCAATATCAAACGCGAAGTCTCTTGGAAGGTTTCACTATTGAGTTATGGGAAAATGTACAAAGATTTGTAATACGTGGACGATAATTTTCAGAAAAGATAAGGTAGGTAACAAATAATCTGTAAAAAGTTCTATGCATAGCCAGGTGGTATAGCCTATATTCATGCACATTTTAATTTATTATTTAAAAAAATTGATATTCCAACATTAAAAAATATAGATACTTAGTATATTGAAGATATTGTAAAGTTTTAAGACCAGTTATTCACTTTAATAAATATTTATATACAAAAAATTTGAAATAAATTGATCTTTTCTCTACATGTTATGTTCATTACAAATAAATTATATATAAAAAGTATCTTGTATTTATGATACAATCATTTAGCAAAAGATCCGATTATCTTATATTTTTTTGACATTTTTAGTAAGATACTAGTATCTGTACTAAGATCCACTTTATCAACGCATCGTATCTAGATTCGTTTTTAAGGATCTGCCCAACCAGTGGCGTAGCTACGGGGGTGGTTTTCGGGTTTGGACCCCTCCCAGAGCACATTTTTTTTTGAGATTATACGTTCAAAAGACTTAAAAGTGATTTTATATGAATTATATTTTTCTGGTTTTGATGTTTGTGGAAGGATATTATATTACTATTGAAATTATTCTGGATAGTATTATTATAAAGTCATTGAGAATAATCTACTAAATTATAATAACATATTATTGATGCATTTAAAAAATATATTTATTATATATTATCGAAGAAATGGTTATGATTTGTAAGATAAACCAGGCCAACCCCCCAGCTTTTATATGTATGGACCCCCTCTAAGGATAATTCCTAGCTAAGCCACTGTGCCCAACTCTGATTGTTTATTGTATAAGAAGTATGTGATAATTAGTTATGTATTTGAATTTTAAGTTAATTTATGATTAGCCACGATTTATATTTTTATATTTATAAAATCTTAAATTTTGATTTGGGAGTTATTTTAATTTATAAATTTGTGCAATAGTGTTGCAATTTATAGATTCTTTTTGATGTAATTTAATTCGACGGATTCAAATTTTTGGATATTTTAATTTTAAGAAAATATATTTTTACTTTATTATTGTTCGCATCATTATTTAAAGTCTGAATAGCTCCCCTATAAATGGGGAGCAAATTGTAATTATCATTAATATTGTATTTTTTTTATTCTCGTTTTTAAATTTATTTGAATAAATTGTTATAAAAATTCTTGTGGAAGCGGTCACAAGCAATAATACACATTTAAAGTTAAAAAAATAGGAATACTATTATCACTGCTTTATAAATATTGCATTACTATTATATACAATAACTAACTTTTTATGATTGTATAATTACGGTTTTATTTGTACGTTTGTGTGGAATTATAGAAATAAAAATATAGAATTATAACAATCTGAATAACTGGAATGTAACATTAAAAGAGTATTAATCAAGAGTCATTGAAAAAATATATTTCAATAATAATGCTTTGAAAGTTGAGGGGGAGGAGGGGGAATGAAATCTAATTTTAAAATATTTAATAAATTTTACAGATGCGATCAAAATTTTGCCTTTCGTGAGGCAATGGTCTGGGTTAAAATATAATCTGAGACTTGGAGTAAAAATTCCGGCTCGCGCCTTCTTTCATTGGTATCAAAGTCGTTAACGTGCAATTTTTCTAGAGTACTTAAAAAATAGAATAAGATAATCATCGCTGCCCATTATTCACCTCATAATTGATTCTTAATTAGAAATATATTAATTAATGAATAAAAAGTGGAGATGAAGCATAAACTAATAGGATTTATTTATCATTACGCTACATAAATAATTTAAAAAAATTCTCAATCCATTTTCTTCTTCTTCAAAACACAGGCCCTTCATCTGAGTCATTTTCATCGTCAAGAAAATTTTCGCCATTGTCAAAATAGGTTTCAGCGTAATCATTTATCTTTATGTGTATTTTTTTTAATGGTAGAATACGATATATATAATTGATATTGTGATTATAGAAGAAAACAAGTCTGGTTTAAAAAATTTTCTTTTATCGAAATATAATATTTGAATAAAGATTAAGTTTCCAATATGATAGTGAGCACCAGGGAACAAAAACTTTAAAATTTTTTGCGGGATTCAATGTAAACACTAGTGATATGCATCGTGCTTAATTTTTCAAGCCCGGTCAGGCTCGAAATTTTTTTAAAAAAGTTTTTCCGGCCCGGCCCGAACCCAAATGTTTTACAAAGTTTTGGCCCAACCCGAATCTGATTTTTTTAAAAAAAATTTACCGGCCCGGCCCGAATTTATTTATATATAGAAATTAATTTTTATAATTACTCAAAATAAAATATATATGTTATATGTAGGGGTGGTACCAATACCAATATAATTTTGGTTTACAATACCAATACCAATATAAACCAATTTATATTTAATGGTATTGCTTTTACAACCAATACCAATACCAATTACCTAAATATATTGGTTTTGATATATTGTTTAAATACAATTATAACCAATACCAATATTAAAAATAACATAATTATTTGGGTTTATCGTGGATAATTATATCGTGATATTTTTTTTACTTTCATTGCAAAAACTGATTACATCTGTTATTTCTTCCAAATACTACTGTATCAATATTTCTGTTATTTATAATTATAGTTTATTTTTATTATGGAAGTAAATTTTTTACATGATATCTATCAATTTTATCTATTTATTTAGGATATTATAATAAATGAAGACCAAATAGAGTTAATAAATATAGATGCTGTTGGTACTAATAATAATAGCGATAAAAAACAAGAAGAATTATCAATATCTAATAAAAGATGAAATTCAGCAAAAATTTGGAAATTTTATACTACTTGTGATAATAAAAAAAAGGCAATTTGTAATAAATGTAAAAAAAAAATATCACTTCCCAATTTTGGAACCTCGGGATTATGGACACATCTTAAATCCATCCACCCAACATTATATAAGAAATGTGAGCAAATAAATATTGGCAGTAAAAAAAATTAAGACAATAAAATCATTTTTACTTAATAATATAAATAATAAAGCTAATTTAAATAATTTAATTATAAACTTTTTCATTCAAAATAATTTAACCTTTTCAATAGTTGAGTATATCACTTTTAAAAATTTAATAGCATATTGTAACCCTTCACTAACATTAGTTTCTAGAAAAACACTAAAAATAGAAATTATGAAACTTTATCATAGTTCTTTATCAATTTAAAATCTGTACTTTCTAACATTACATCTAAATTTTCCTTAACAATGGACATTTGGTCCTATCCAAATAAAATACCCTTTATGGGCATAACAATTCATTATATTGATAATGATTTTAAATTAAATAATCATTTATTAGATTTTATTCCTTTTAAATCAGCACATAATTCTATTAATATTTTTAATATTTTTAATTCTGTATTAAAAGTAAAATTTGAAATTGATTTTTTTTGCATTACATTAGACATGCAAGTAATAATTTTGCATTTCTAAAAATTTTAAAACAAAAAGATAATTTTGCTAATGTGTGCAAATACTTTTGCCATATTATACATTTGGCTGTCATGGCTGCATTGGAACCCTTAAATACAACTTTTAAAAAAATAAGAAATTTTTAAAAAATTTTTAAACTTTCTATATCTAAATTTAATAAACTCGAAAAAATATATCTTGAAAAAAATCCACACTTAAAATTTTCTCACCCAATTTTGGATATACCAACACGTTGGAATTCAACATACCAAATGCTTGAAAGAGCGATATTGCTCAAACCCTATTTGACAACATATACCAATCATTTACAAAATACCAATCAAGAAAATTATATTAATGCCTTAGCCTGGAATAATATAGAAATATACCGAGAATTTCTGGAACCATTTAATTTTGCTACAGAGATGGCCTCATGTGCTAATACTCCAACAATTTCAACAATTATTCCTTTATATTCCAGTATTTTTGAGCATGTGGAGAGTTATAATAATAATCCTAATGATATTTTAAAGACAGCTTCTTTAGCTGCCTTAACAAAACTTAATAAATACTATAATTATAATAAACACCTCTTTATTATTTCAACACTGATTGACCCAAGATTTAAACTATCAAGTCATTTATTAAAGCATAATAATATGGAAACTCAGTCATTTATTAAAGCATAATAATATGGAAACTCTTATTGGATATCTTACTAATGAATACAATATTTATAAAATAAATAATAACAATTCAGCGGAACTTACAAATGAAGCACAAAATAACAAAAAATTATCCTTTTATGACAAAATATCAGGTGAAACCTCATAATAATAACAACTTAGAAATAAGTAAATACGTAGATGAAGCCACAATTTCCAATGATACAAATCCATTAGATTGGTGGAAATTAAATAAAAATAGATATCCAGTATTATCAAAAATTGCCAGAGATTATCTAGCAATTCCGGCCACCTCGTCTAGCTCTGAAAGGGCTTTTTCAGAAGGACGGTATGTTATAACAGACCAACGTTGTTCACTAGATGAGCATACTATGCAAGCTTGCCTGTGCCTAAAAAGTTGGATGCGCATGCAAGATTCTTCTTAAATACATAAAATTATTTTCTCTTCTTATATTAAAATTACATCATTCTTTTGCATTATATTTTGTATAAATAGACAGTTATGTTACATTTTTAGTTTACTTATTTTACTATGTTCTTTGTGATAAATAAAATGGTTCAAAATCAATACGTTTATTATTGTTGATACAAAAAATACATGGTTAAATCAAAATTTTTTATATTCACATCACCTAATAAATTCCTAGTTTAAAAAAAGAATTTGTATTCAGTAAAATTTTGAGAGTTGGTTCTTAGCCCTGATTTTATGGTATCATGATTTTTTTCCCCATCTTTATTTAAAATTAGAAATTAAGGGTTTTATAATCACTATTTCTATTCTTTTAATTAGTAATTTGAATTTAAACCAATACCAATAGTTACCAATATAAACCAATACCAATAGCAATACCAATACAAGAAATAGAAAATATTGTTTAAACCAATACCAATATTTTAGACCCAATACCAATACAATATTTTGTTAATATTGGGTTTTTACTATTGGTTCCCAGCCCTACCACCTAGTGGAATTCAGGCATATTAGATACCTACCCAACTTTCTACAAGATTTTTCAAAAAATTTTCAATATAAAAAGGAAAAACTGATGTTTAATGTTTAAAATGATTAGATGAAAAATCAATATAAAACTCGGCTCAACATTTAATAATGAATAAATTTAAATAAAATAAAATTTTATTTTCATTAACAAATATTATTAATATTTAAAAAATAATAATATTTATATATTAAATTTAAAGGAGCGGTGGAGCGGCGCTCTTCCTCTCCAGCCTTAAAAGGAGCTACTCCCGCTCCTCATTTTTAAAAAGGAGGGGCGCTCAAGCTGTTTTTGAGAAAATGTAGCAACTCTGCTATTATGCTTTAATAAGTGACTTGATAGTTTAAACCTTGGGTCAATCATTGTTGAAATAATATATAGGTGTTTATTAAAATTATAGTATTTATTAAGTTTTGTCAAGGCAGCTAATGAAGCTGTCTTTAAAATAGCATTAAGATTATTATTATAACTCTCAACGTGCTCAAAAATACTGGAATATAAAGGAATGATTGTTGAAACTGATGGAGTATTAGCACATGAGGCCATCTCTGTAGCAAAATTAAATGGTTCTAAAAATTCTCGGTATATTTCAATATTATTCAAAGCTAAGGCACTAATATAATATTCTTCATTAGTATTTTGTTGATGATTGGTATATATAGTGAGATAAGGTTTGAGCAATATAGCCCTTTCGAGCATTTGGTACGTTGAATTCCAACGTGTTGGTATATCCAAAATAGGGTGAGGAAATTTTAAATTTGGATTTTTTTCAAGATATATTTTTTAAAGTTTATTAAATTTAGATATAGAAAGTTTAAAAAATTTCTTATTTTTTTTAAAGTTGGATTTAGAGGTTCCAATGCAGCCATGACAGACAAATGGATAATATGGCAAAAACATTTGCACACATTATCAAAATTGTCTTTTAGTTTTAAAATTTTTAAAAATGCTAAATTATTACTAGCATTATCTAATATAATACAAAAAAAAATCAATTTCAAATTTTACTTTTAATACAGAATTAAAAATATTATAAAAATTAATACCATTATGTGCTGATTTAAAAGGAATAAAATCTAATAAATGATTAATTAATTTAAAATCATTATCAATATAATGAATGGTTATGCCCATAAAGGGTATTTTATTTGGAGAGGACCAAATGTCCATTGTTAAAGAAAATTTAGAAGTAATTTTAGAAAGTACAGATTTTAAATTGATAAAAGAACTATGGATAATGTTTCATAATTTCTTTTTTAAGTGTTTTTCTAGAAATTAATGTTAATGAGGGGTTGCAAAAGCTTATTAAATTTTTAAATGACTCATTTTCAACCATTGAAAAGGCTAAATTATTTTGAATAAAAAAGTCCATAATTAAATTATTTAAATTAGCTTTATTATTTACATTATTAATTAAAAATGATTTTATGGTGTTAATTTTTTTGTTCACATTTCTTATATAAAGTTGTGTGGATGGATTTAAGATGTGTCCATAATCCTGAGGTTCCAAAATTGGGAATAGATAATTTTTTTTACATTTATCACAAATAGCCTTTTTTTTGTTATCACAACTAGTATAAAATTCAGATTTTTGCTGTATTTCGTCTTTTATTAGATATCGTTGATTCTTCTTGTTCATTATCGCTATTATTATTAGTATCAATATCATTATCTATATTTATTAACTCGATTTTATTTTCATTCATTATAATATCCTAAATGAATATAGATAAAATTGATAGATATCATATAGAAAACTTACTTCCATAATAAAAATAAACTATAATTATAAATAACACCAATATTGATATCACAGGAATATTTGGAAGAAATAACAGATGTAATATGTTTATGAATGAAAGTAAAAAAATATACCACGATATAATTATCCACGATAAAACCAAATAATTTTATGTATTTTTCTATTTTAAATTTTTAATATTGGTATTGGTTAAAATTGTATTTAAACAATATTTCAAAACCAATATATTTAGGTAATTGGTATTGGTTGTAAAAACAATACCAATATTTAATTATATATTGGTTTATATTGGTATTGGTATTGTAAACCAATATTATATTGGTATTGGTCCCATCCCTACTAGGTGGAATTCGTATTATGAGTCTATGGTTTTGCTAGATAAAATATTAGATGAAAAACAAAAGGACCTTGATGAGTTGTGTGATAACCATGGGCTTATACGTTTTAACTCCCAAGAACGTAAATTTATTAAAAAAGAGTATAGTCAAGTAAATATTAATATAATCGTTATCTTAGTGAAATAAATAAATTTTAGGTTATGAAGCATATGAAAAAAGCTCTAAAAATCCTTGAAGGGGAGCTTCATATGGACATGGGTTTCCTAAGTCCAACCATTTCTAAATTTATTTCAAAATTAAACGAATTAACAGATTTAGAGTTTTGCCAACCTCTTGTAAAGTCTCTTATAAGCGGTATTAATAAAAGGTTTATAATAAAAAATAAATTATATCTATTTAAATAACTTTATTGCAGATTTTCAAATATTTATAATGATGATAATATCATTGCAGCGATTGTCCATCCTGCATTCAAATTGAATTGGGAATGGATAAAAAATCCAAAAAATATGGAACTAAAAGGCAGATTAATTAATTTTTTAAGGAAACAAATACCCGACGGAAAAATAGCTACTACTAGTTCACGGGAACCTTGCAATGATTTGGAAGATTTCTTTGAATTCCATGAAATTGATCACCATGAAGATAATATATTGGATAGATATTTTTTAAATAATGATAGCAAAATTACTATTTTTGAACAATTCCCTGAATTAAAAAATATTTATATAAAATACAATACCCCGCTTCCCTCTAGTGCTCCTGTGGAGCGCCTATTTAGTATTGTAAAACAGATCTTAGGGGAGGGGCGTGAGTGTTTGTTAGATTCTAATTTAGAAAATTTATTACTTTTAAAAGCTAATAAAAGATTATAAATATTTTGATATATCATATAATATAAATAAAACGTTTTGATAAAAAAATATGATTTTGTTTCATGTACCTTCTAAAAAAATGAAAATCAAAGGAGCGGTTATGGAGCAGCACTCCATTAGTTGGAGCGGGAGCGCTCCTTTTAATATGTAGTAGCGGGAGCGGGAGCTCGCTCCTTTTGAGAAGGTAGGAGCGGTAGCGGGAGTTCGCTACTTTTAAAAAGGAGCGTTAACAACTCTGCATAATAGTATAAAAACTCTTATTGGATGTCTAACCAATGAATATAATATTTATAAAACAAATAATTACAATTCAGCTGAACCTACAAATGAAACACAAAATAACAAAAAATTATCCTTTTTTGACAAAATATATCAGGTTAAACCTAGTCACAACAATAATAACTTAGAAATAAGCAAATATGTGGATGAAGCCACAATTTGTAATGATACAAATACATTAGACTGGTGGAAATTAAATAAAAATAGATATCCAATATTATCAAAAATTGCCAGAGATTATCTTGCAATTCCAGCTTCTTCATCTAGCTCTGAAAGGGCTTTTTCAGAAGGAAGGTATCTTATAACAGATCAACGTTGTTCACTAGATGAGCATACTATCCAAGCTTGCCTGTGCTTAAAAAGTTGGATGCGAATGAAGGATTCTTCTTAGATACATAAATTTTTTTCTTTATATTACAATCTTTTGCACTATATTTTATATAAATAGACAATTATGTTACATTTTTAGTGTATTCATTTTGCTATATTCTTTGTGCTAAATAAAAAGTTTCAAAATATACGTTTATTATTTGATTGGTTTGTTGATTTCAAAAATATATAGTTTCAAAAAACAATTTGGATTTAGTAAAATTTTGGGAGTTGGTTCTTAGCCCTGTTTTTATGGTAATGCTTCATGATTTTTTTTTCCATGTTTATTTAAAACTAGAAATTAAGAGTTTTATAATCACTATTTCTATTCTTTTAATTAGTAATTTGAATTTAAACCAATACCAATATAAACCAATACCAATAGCAATACCAATACAAGAAATAGAAAATATTGTTTAAACCAATACCAATATTTTAGACCCAATACCAATACAATATTTTGTTTATATTGGGTTTTTAATATTGGTTCCCAGCCCTACTATAGAGTGGCACTCCTTACTTGGAGTGGGAGCTAACTCTTTTTATAAAACTTAATAGCGGGAGCTAGCTCATTTTGAGAAGGCAGGGGAGGGAGCTAGCTACTTCTAAAAAAGGAGCCTCAACAACTGACATTCTTATTTTAAAAAATAATATTTAAAGTAAGCTGGGGTATTCAGATTTTTTTTAACCTCATGATAAAATGATTTTGTTCTTTTGAATGATTATGATCTTATAACAGAGCACAAATAATTGGCAGCTTTTAATGTTACAAACTCTGGTTCCTACATAATACCACTCTGATTAAAAAATTGTTACAATTTCATCATTAAAATCTTTGGAATAATTTTGCATTATTTTCAATTTAAGGCTCACAGATATATTTTTTATTCCGTAAGCATGAAAGATTAGACATTTTGTAAATGTGCCCCCATTACTATTCATGGCAGTTATAGTAATTCCCTTTTGGAGGTGAAAGTTTCTCTAATCCCCCATTTTATCTGCCCATTAAATATTTTAATATTGACTTTAAGCCTCCTGCTTTAATTAAAAACAAAAATTGAAAAATATGAATGGTCATTATGATGCATTTTCTAATGAAAATGATAATAACAATATTATAGAGGAGCCAGGGTTAATGGAATTAGAGGATGCAAAAGATATATTTAAGAACAAAATCTTCATTTAAAAATTAAAAAAACCCCAGCTCAATTTGAATATTATTTTTTAAATTCTATGGCTAGGAGAAAAGAGAGAAAAAAAGGCATAAATATAATATTAGTTAACTTCGTATATATATATTTTTGTCATAACTCCCATTTCCACCCATTTTTAGGTCTATTTGCAAATTCTTGCTATAATTAATATTCTTATAGACTTAATGGCTTTTTTCAATATAAAGACCTTACCAAAAACGGGTTTACTAGGCCTAAAATTCTACACTTTAAAATGGAAAATGTGGTTGCCATTGGCTAAATGTTTTATAACATTTTTATTCAATTCCATTTAATATTTGTTAAGGAATTAAAATTGAGATACTTATTGTAATGAAGGCATGATGATGATATATATATTATCTGAGCCTGAATTATCAAGTATTCTGACTATAAAATAATTAGACATAAACAACATAAACATAAAACATAATAGAGTAAAATAGATCCAAGTTAGAAAGGATAATTGTTAAAAAATATTTGAAGGAAGGATTGTAATCTTTTATTAAAAAAATTCAGAATATTTTAAATTTATAATTTCTTTAAATAAAATTTTTTAATTTTTTGTAATTGATTGAATATAAAAAAGAATCCATTCTTCAAAAGAATGTTTACACTAAAATTTGTCTAAAATATTATTTATGAACATGTTCTTTGAATGCATCCATATACAGTATGCAGATATTTAATATTGGGACAGGATCAATATTTAGCATTTATAAAAAATATACAGATCAGGCCAATATTCATACAAACCCTATCCAATACTTTTTATTGTTTTTGGTTATATTATAATTGTATTTATAATTAATATATTTTATTTTACCATAATCATAATAATAATTAATTTATAAAAGGAAACAAAATTAAATTTATTTTGTAATGTATAAAAAAAATCAAATTATTTTAGAAGATTACAAATTTTATTATTTTTTTTGTTATATCTGCAACTAGAAAATAATTTTAAAATATTTAACGAGTGACATTAATTAGTGGTTTATTATCCAAGCTTGGATATTTTGCCCAGTTGGCTGAAAAATTTGGGCGTCATTGTCAAAATTTAGAAGCATAAGTAAAAAATATTTTGGCTAAGATCCTGATAACTGTTTTTAAAAATAGGCTAAATTGAGCCAAACAGCATTATATTCAGACATAAACATCACCTATATTTTATGAGATAATAACCTTTTGAGAATAAAAAGCCAAATCATTTAATAATTTTTAAAATCTTATTTTGAATAGATAATATTAAGTTTATGGCATTTATTCAAATATTTTTGATAAACAAAATAAATTTAAATATCAGATTTGCATCAGTTTGTAATATAGGAAATATTGAATTAGTGAAAAATTTAGGTATTGGTCTAATTTATAATATAGATAAAATGAATTAAGTAACTTCTTCTTCATCCTCAGTTTCAATTAAACTAGCATTTTCTTCTTTACCATCTTCAATATCATCATTTGTTTTCTCAGGATTTTGAGGGTCATTAGAATAAGGAATGGAATCTTTATGGGCTAATTTTTCTTCAACTGATTGAAGTTTCTAAGTGAGTTATAAATTGTATATTTTTAATACACTAAGATAATATGACCAATTAAAATAAGAAATACTTTAAGTTTTTCATCTATGTTCAGTTTCTCAATTCTTAATTTTTTTAAATCCCTGTTGATCTTAAGTGGTTTAGGTCTTAACTCAGCTGGTAAATAATTCCAATCTTTAAAAAAATATAATAAAATTGATTCTGTCATATAAATTTGTTACCAAAATGATCTTCTGCATATTGGAATATATCTAGGGGTTTTATTTTATATTTATCAGTATATCGTGCAATATCAAATGATTTCTTCTTTATATCTTCAAAACTTTTATGGAAAGGAGATTCTTGCATATTTTTAAGTATTTCTTCTTTTATATCTAATAATTCTCTCATAGAATCATTTATATCTAATTTTAATGGCTGATGATCTAGAGGCTATAATAAAATCAAAGTATTTGAAATTTCGTCATATAATATATGTAAAGCTTAAAAATAGAATATAATGCCTATTGTTAAAGAATTAAATAGTAATATACTGGATATAGAGGCGGCGGAGCTTCAACATTAAATTGTGTTGGAAATTCATTTCGGTTCAAGCCTAAATTACTAGATATTTGACTTATCGAACCTTTACCCCTGCCTCGCGACATTGTGAATATATGAAATATATTTCAGTTATATTAAAATCAGATGACAGCTAGTAAATTTAATGAAGATATTTTTTATTTTTTCTGCAGTGGATACGCCCTCTGAGTACCTACTTAATTGTGGGATGTCTCACCAGTGTATGATAGGATAGGATAGGTAATGTAATTAAGACTATGCCAAAATTTCAAAAAAATAATTTATAATGTAGAAAACTAAAATAAATAGTTGATCCGGTGCCTTCCTACAACTAAGCTCTCAACTTCCTGAACCAAAAAAAGAACAATATATATAAGTTCAGAAAATTTTGTGATGATCATATTTTCATACCAATCATACCATATTTGATAAACTCGCCCTACTAGATGCGTAGCTAGATTAGTGCCTTAGGTTCTAAAGCACCCTCCATTTAAATGAGCATCAATTTTTAAAATAAATACGCATACAATGTTTTAGAAATAAGCGCCCAATTTTTAAATTTAATCCCATTTAAACAAATCGATATTTTATTTTAATACATTTCATACAAACTTTTAGGGTTTTTTAAAATAAATATTATATTCGTTTTGGTCTTAAATCATTTTATCGCTATAATCTCTTTCATTTCGATTTAAGCAAAAAACCAAATTACTAAAGATTAAATAATATTTTATGAAAAATATGGTATATCCAAAATTTTCTCTTTTTTAGCTAACACTATCCAAAATTACCTTTTTTTTGCTCAACATTCCAAAAGTATCTTTTTTAGCTAACATTTTAAAAATATCTTTATTTTTTTAGTAAACATTATCTAAAATTACCTTGTTTTTTTAGCTAATATTATCAAAATTACATTTGGTATTAAAAAAATTCGAAATTTTGAGGGGGCGCGAGCCCCTGCGCTTCCCCCTAGTGACCTTACTATTCTAAAAATTATTAGATATCTGCTATGCATAAGCAACTCTAATGCATAGAACAGAGGACGTTGAGTTTGTTTAAATCAAGGAATTCAAACCTTAATTGTAGCCAGACCTTCGAACCCTGATATAGTAAGCCAAAACCCCGAATCACGAATTTTTTTAAATTTAGGGTTCAGGGTTCAAGATTTTTTTAAAAATTTCTATTTCTTTATTTATTTATTTTTTAATGAAAATGTATTAAAATATCATCAATTTGTAAAATAATAAAATTAATTAAAACATAATTGTTTTATTTTTATTTTCAATATTAAAAATATTTTTTGTGAAATCTTTTTCTGTGGAATCGTTCTTTATTTTAATTTTTGTATCGGTTTATTTCAGCTTAAAAAAGAGATGATAATTTATTTTGACTATTTTTTTTTGTTAAGAAATAAAAAAAAATAATTTAATATATTATAAAATTTTATCGAAAGAGAGTGAATGACTCGTTTTTTGAAATAGAAAAATAAAATATGGTTAAAACATATCTTCGAAATTTTTAAAACTTTACCCTTCAGATTTTCCACAAAACTTTCTCTTAAAAAAAACTTTAAACAAAACATATTGCGTAAAAATAAACGTGTAAAAAAAATTCTGATTATTTTATTTTATACTATTTGATTTTTTTCATTTTCCCTGTCACCATAAAAATTTTATTTATTGATAATAATTTTTTTTAAAAAATAAAAATGACATGTATAAAAACGAATGGATTTTATGTAAATTTGAAACTTTCCTGAACACCGAACCATGAGCCCACCTGAACCCGAACATGGTTCTGAGAATTTTCACTGAATCTAAACCTTACCCTTATTTTGTAGAAAGGGAGTTCACAGCCCTGTTTTAAATTCAATATAAATATGCATTAATTATTTGCTCATTTTTGAATTTATAAAAAGTTGTACTCATTTTACAATTAATCTGATATTCATTTTTGAATTAGTCTCACACCAATTCTAAAAAAAATGTAAAATCAAAGAAAATTTTTGATAAGAAAATCTAAAATAAAGGTTTATTGGTTATGAGATAGTAAAGCACTTAATTAGATTCTCTATTTATGTTATATATTATTTTTGAAAGAGAGTGAAGCATTTAATTATATTCTATAATATTTATGTTATATATTAATTTTGAATGAATATATGTACAAAACTAATTATTGTAAGAAATATAATTCGTGGACATGAACCAGACTGTAGGACATAAAAGCGGCTTGTTCTGCCAATGGGAGGTATGAGGCAAATACATCTACGCCTGGTCATTCTTCAAACGCTTAGGCTCCCAAATCGGCACACTCTCTGAAAAACCTTAAGAAGAGTGGTTTTTCCCTGATAAAGGATCGCCATAGCAATTTTAGCCAATTGCATTAGCTTTAATGGAACGAAAAATTTTTTCATTCTTATATTCAGATAGTTTTTTTAAAAATTAATTATTTCCAGTCTTTGCACATAAAATTAAAAAGAATTGCCAAAATGCAAGTTTATATAAAAATTTAAAATTGAAATACACTTTCATAAATAATATGCTCAATCATTTAAAGGAAAACATTTTTTGAGGATTTAAAAATGACCGAAATAGATCCTTGAGTCAGTATTTACTATTATTATTAATTATAATGTGGGGAAATTCCATTTTAAAATAAATACTTTAACTTATTTTAATATTAATGGATTTTAAATATTTTTTTAGTTAATGGGGGAGTTTGAGTTACAGTTGTAACAGATTTATCTTGCATTCACAATTAGCACGAAGTCTTGGCGAAGCATATAAAATATGTTAATTAATTTTACATTATTTTTGTATACTTCGCATCGAATTCGTGCTAACTGTAAAGCAGGGTTAGGCTGTGTCCTGGTTCTTCTTATTTTTCAAACAGCTGGCTGTTTAGTCGACTATATAAATTCGACTAAACTAAAAAGTAAGAGAGAAAAAAAACAAAATAATAAAAATAAAACAAAGGAACGAAAAAAATAAAATGCCATTAAACACTTAAAATAAACTATAATAGAGTTTCCTATTTCAAAAGCTGCAGCAATAAATATTATAAATAAGTTCAACCAGGACAGAGCCTTATAGTTGATATTGTTTATCAAATTATAATTTGTTAATTATTAGTATATTGTATTTATATTATAAATCAGGATTTGGAACCAACCTAAGCTTATTTTCTGAAACATTTAAAATGTTATTCTGGGTTGTTTTCCGATTTCCGGTTTCAAATCCTAACTTCGACTTTGATAATAGAGTAAATATTTTTCTCCACTAATGAAATCATAGTTTATTGGAAAAATATATACCTAATATAACTGTGGTTCTGAATATAGAGTTTTGTTATATCAAAATAAACAAAGTTTTATAAGCAAATTTATACAAATTTCCCTTGGTATACGATTGTGAATAAGCGATCAATTTGGCAGTCCTTTTTGATTTTCTTGCAGAACCAAAGTAACCTTGTCATGTCTTTGTGTGTAATCTTTAAGTTTATATCAATTGTATAAATAATTTTTTTTAAAACAAATAGAGGTGACAGGGGAAAAGTAGATCTTCATAAATACCTTTATAAAATTTGAAAATATTACTGAAAAATATTGCTACTCAAACGGTACTGACTAAATAATGTATTTAAGGTGTATAATTTATTTCTTAACAATCATTTTGATATTTCAAGTAAAATAAAAGCACAAACCAAGTAAGGGGTACACAGGATTATATAAGAAATATTATCGTTACTAATAAATATTATACATGATTACCGAAATAACCGAAAATCAAAATTTTTATATTGTATAAAAATTGTATTTTTTTGGTATAACTAATCATTACATACTCTGGTCGGGTTTTTTCCCATTCTTCATTCATGATAAAAGTTGTTATAAAGAAATACTCAAGATGATCTTATGATATTAAACTCACACCAGGCATAAAGGAGGGTAAAACTTTTATTTGATATATTATACATGATGCTTGCTTTTAATAGCCGAATTCAGGAGCTATACCTTTAAAAATAGGAAAGGAATATTTGCATCATTTATACCCGTATAAATCGAATAATTCCTTATTCGTATTTTGTACTATTATGCAAATAGTTAAAAATATTGTGAATAATTGGAATATTTACGAAAAATTTTATAATTATTCGAACGAATAATATTGGCGTTCTATTTGTATTTTCGAATCAAATAATTGTGTTATTTATATTCGTAAAATACGATTCGAATCCAATGAATAATTCGTTTTAAGTATACCCCAGAGCCCAGACGCAATTAATTAAACATTTATCTTTACATTTTCGAGATAATATAACATATTTTTCAAGTATAAAATTTTTAATGAGTTGACACAGGGTAAGTATATTTTTATCAACAGATATACATTATAAAATTGAATTATTTTGATTAACTAGATTTAAAATTAATAGGATTAGGACTGATAGGTCCCTGTTCGCTAAGCTCCGATATCCGCTATATAATTTTAAAATTGATCAATTAAATACTTTTATATTCCCGGTTCTTTAAAAAAATGATATCTTTTATTTCCACCAATTCTGAATCAATCTTCTCCTATGGCTTTAATTGTTGTTTGATTCGATGATTTTTTATGCTTTCCGGAATTTTTAATTTTTTTTACAATTATTTTGGTTGCCATTGGGCGATTCCTTTTTCAAAGGTAAAATAAAAATATGAGCAGTTTATTCAAATATTTTCTCAGCCCGAATTTTTCTAATCATACTTCTTTTTTTTGGTTTGGTCTGGGTTCCGGGGACAGACCTATAGGTCTCCTGTAATAGCTAAATTTAATGAGGCGTAAAGGAAGAACTCATTTATAATAAGTAAATAAAATTATATTACAAACTTTTTCCTTTATTAGATCCTCGAGTTTGAGCCCTAATTCTCAATAATTAGTAATCTTATCCTCAAAATTGTTGAATCATAAAATTTAAAAAAAAATTACCTATCTAAGGATATTTAACAAAAAAAATGCAATTCTTCACTAATTCTATTTATGTCGCTGCAAAACCCATGTCCTTATACCTAGTCTGTAATGTATCAATGAGCGTCTTTCAACTGGCTTAGGCTTTTCGTTATCTTCAATGATTATTACTATCAAGACTCATACCATAATATGGAAAATAATTTATGTTTGCAGAGTTGCAAAGCAAGGCCTCTGGGGTGGAAGGTGCGTATGACGCCAAAGAGTCTTTGAAATTATGGGGGGTTCCTCTTTTTTGCTAATTATTTAATTATTTTTATTTAATAGAGAGTTTAGAATAGAGTAAGGGGTTAGGTAATAAGGTCAGTGGCTTAGAGGGACTTATAGCAGCGTACCAAACCATAATAAATAAAATTACACTACTTTTAAATTCATATATATATTATTTAAATTTGACCTCGAAATAAATAAAATTTAAGGAATTTTCAAATACCTTTATAATTTATAATTACTTTTAAATTTTTTTAAAAAAAAAATTAGTAAATAAATAATTTCTAAATTTTTTTTTTCAAATATATAAAATTTTTTTCAAAAATCGAATCAATCGATTAATTTATTATTTATTAAAATGCTAATCGGCGTCTTATAAATAGAAAATAATTATTTTAAGTAGGGATTGGATTTTTATGTTTAAAAGTTTTCGCATAGAATAACTTTAAATAAGTAGAAATGAATCTCAAATAACGCTTAAGTGCTCCTTTGATTGTAGGATCCCCAAAAATATTAATGTAGACCCCCACCATTGGATTAGAATATTTGAGCAAATTTACGAAGCCTTCCGCAGATTTTAGCCTATTTGATACTCTGTCGTAAATCTTTTTATTTTTAGAAAAAAGCATAAGACCGACATGAGGAAAATTTAATGCTAGCAACATCGCAGTTTGAGTGAATATCATGCCTGAATATTTCCCGTTTTTAAGTTTCATTAATTTTCCTTTTAACTGCAGGCCTCTATTCAATAAATATTTGCCTTTAACTCCGACCGAGCTCTTTAAAAATTGATTACCAATTTTTGACCCGGGTATATTCTTTAAATGGGAAGCAAAATCATTGGCCGATAAATTTTTGCCAATGGAGCTAATTTCTGGGTTAAGCGAAAATTTGCTATTCGTTGAAAAAACGGAGGGTGTTTTAGATAAAATCGATGCCGTGTCAGGCAATGGATTAAATTTGCTGAGAGAAATAGTGGATACATTAATGGGCACTACAATTTTCGAGGGGTTTATATTAGAACTAAGGCTAAGATCAAATAATTTTTTACCAGGCCCCATCACTGTATTCAAGGTAGATGATGTTTTTTCTTTCATATCTTTGACCAAACTTAATTTTGTAAAGGAACTTCCAATAGTCTTTGAAGGTATCGTGTTGGTTGAGATGATGGGTTCATTAGTAGAGAGTGTCATATTAGGCGAAACGGATGGAATGTTTATATTATTGGGGCTTACATTGGAAATTTTTTTAGTATTCCCTGTGACAGCATTTGTAATGGAAATTATTTTTGCTTTCACGCCAGTGATTGCCCCTACCCTTGTAAAGGTGTTTCCAAATACTTTTAGCAATAGAACTGCATTTCCGCCGAGCGTTAAAGCCATGGGAACCATATTCATCATTGTAGTAACCGGAACATCATATTTATTTTTCCAGTCCGACGTGTTGACGTGCGTCATATTTCTGGGATTTGCTATAAACATCATATTTTTGCAGCTTATATTATTACCCCTTCCACCCATGGTCATATTGTTAGTGAAGGCAAGAGGGCGGGTTCCGTTCATGTCGCAAACGCCAACAATTTCTACTATGAAAAGGTACGGAGCGGCTAAGAATGCGCTAAGAAGAGTCACTCCCGTATTACCATAAACGATGGACTTGCCTGTGATGTATTTTGATGAAATCGTTGGAATAACAATTGCGGACCCGCGCTCTATAACGGCGATGGCGGTCACCCAATTTGTAGAATACCCCGAGAACCGATCTAAGGCACCGTTAATTTTATACACTAGAATAGCCTTTAGCTTAGAGCCGAAGCCTCTTGTAGCGGTATTGGTAGCCGAGGGTAAGAATGACAAATTTACACAGGATAAAACGCTCAAGAACATCAGAAAATAAGTATGGATATAATGTTTTAGTGAATTATCATTACCTTTTTTGAGCTTTTTTATACCTAAACGACCGATAATGTAAACTATGTTTCCTACGATGGCCAGGATAATAAGAATAGGAGATACAAGTCTGAAAAAAATATTTTTTACAGTTTCAAGGTTCATTTCCTATGTTCTTCTTATACTTTAATGGTTCAAAGATTGATTTAAAATTTTTTTTACAAATTAAAATTAATTTGTTTCCATTTTTTTTCGGTTAAGAAATATTTTAGCCTTTGTTTAATTTTTTTAACCAAGTATATTATATATTAAAATTTAAAATTATTTCATTTTTTTTTGAAATAAAGGTTAATATTTTATAAATATAATTAATGCAAAATTCTTTTACTGTTATATTAAGTAAGAACAAATAAGATATTGGGCCAATATGGCATTATGTTTCGAAAATTGTCGCATTACGAAATTGCAATGTCTTCATCAGAGAAAAATTTGGTGGCAACCTTATTCACGCTACCTCCTTTTTACTGGCTACACCAATATTATTCCCTTTAAAGATATGGGGAGGAAGGCACCTACCTATCCCACTCAAAAGCATCAAATTATCTATGGAAGTTATTTTTAAACTCTTAACTAATCTATATATTTTATGCAAATAAACCCTTTTCATTCTATATTTAAACCTGTTAATATATAAAGTGGTAGATTCAGAAAGTGTCATATTAAAAATCTAAAACTGGCAGATGAAGTTTTGATCCTAAGCAACATGTATAATTAAGTTGATAAACTTTTGATTGGGGTGAGAATTCTTTTTTTGGCGATACCAACACCCTTAATGCCGAGTATCGGGTTCTATGCAACAGATATCTGACAGGGATTTTAAAAAATTTACACAAATAACACGTACAATAAGTTGTCTATATTATTTTAATTCATTTAAAAAAAAAATCTTTTATATGTAATTATAAAGTGCTTATGATTTTATACTCCCATGGCTAAAATTATTTCCATTGGTTATTTACACAGATTTTTTTTTAAATATTATAGAAATCACTATCTTAAATGTTATCATTCATGGCAGCCAAAAAGAGGCATATCGTCGAACTTGGTAACTAACACAAGAAATGTCAGATTCCTTTTCTTTATTTGAACATTTATTTAAGCTTCTCTCATGCCATTTAATACTGTGTTGCCATACCCTGTTAATACTTTAGTAGTTCGGAATTTGGGACAGTCAAATTTTTGTTCGCATTTTTTCTCTAATCAATGAGTGTCTTAGGCACCTGTATCAAAATTGATTAATAAGTCATTCACTATAACTAGCATGTTGGCTCTCTTATGTCACATACTGATTAATCGTCTGCTATCACAAGGAAGATTCCTTTACTTTATTTTAACCATTTATTTACTAAGGCCTATAGTAATGTGTTGTATCCCATTAGTTCAGTAGTTCGGAATTCGGGACAACCAATTTTTTGTTCACATTTTTTACTCTAATCCATGAGACACCTGTTTAAAATTGATTAATTTAATACGCCATTAACATTAATAAGTATGTTGCCTCTCTATGCCGTATACTGATTTTATCGTCGAACTTGGTTAACTTCCACAATGAATATCAGATTCCTTTACTTTATTTGAACATTTATTTATGTTTTTCCTAAGGCCTATAGTAATGTGTTACCATATTCTATTATTACTTTAGTAGTTCGGAACGGGACAACCAATTTTTCGTTCACATTTTTTTTTCTCTAATCCATGAGGCTTGGACACCTGTATTAAAATTGATTAATTTAATACACCACACTTTAATGAGTATGTTGGCTCTCTTATGCCGCCATATATTCTTATTTTAAATGAAATATATAGAATACCTGTCCATAACACTATAATTCGTTCAAGAACCAAAATGACTTATAATAAGATACATAATGTGTTATCATCGGGCACTAAATACTCGTCATTTAAAGCATTTATAAAAATTCACTAGTTTATTAAAACCTAATTGCTAATTTAGAATAACTTTCTTCTAACCCATTCTCCTCACATTTGGGTATCTGTAAAAAATCTGCTACCTTACCCTTTTTCATAATGATCTTTTACTTTTATTCTAGTTCCATTTCCTTGATTTGTCTCATAGTTGAACTCCTAGTATTTTCATCTGTTTGATTATTTTTCCGATCTTTCAAAATTATGTAATATAGTACCTAAACAACCATCAGTCCTTGATCATATTCATACCATGCTGCAATAATGTCCTTGGATTATTCTCTCCTAGCAATAACCAAGCTTTTAGCTCTTTATTCACAATCAGCTGTTTATAATTCTCCTGAATTCTTATCATCATTAATGAATTTATTCAAAATAATCAATAATAACCTCATCATTCAAAATTGTTGCTGGCCTATAGTTATTGTATGAGTCAAATTAATTTTTTCTACTACATGAATACTTAATTTACCATCCCCTGTATGTCATCGTCACAAATCTGTCCCTCTTGTCAAAAAACAGTACATATTAGGAAAAATGGATGCTTACAAGTCCATGGTCCTCCTTCACTCAGATGCTCACACTCTGGCCACGATCCTTTTTCCCTTACCAATACTTTGATTATCCCCCCAGAAAATTCTGTTCCACTTCACCACAATCCAAATTCCAGCTTCTCAGATATTTTTCTTGATCATCCCAAACCAAATATTATTTCAAGGATCCCCAAAGGTGCTAGATTGTCTGATGCTAAATCTTTTGCTGACTGCCTATTTTCTCTCTTGCAAACTTTAGTAATGAGCAAGAATGGCTAAAATTCCTATATTTTGGATATAATACTTTCAGAGTGCCTGACAAAAATTCACCTAAATCCCTCACTCAGCAAATCAAAGATGCTGCTTCGATGAAGACCCCCCATCTTCATGAAAACAAAATCTCACAGTCAGTCTTAAACAAAAGAAGATTCTCACGAATAGAGTTGAAGGCCAATTTGATCTGCAAGAAAATTGACAACCTCAATATTAAAGGAGCACTCAGATTGGTGTCCACACATGACTCTTTAGCTGAGCCATCCATGTCCACCTATTTAAAGTTATGTCAAAAACACCCCTTAGCCAACATCATCCCTATTTCTCCTCAACCTCACTCCACTTGCGCTTCTCTTTTTACTTCTGAAGAAGTGAGGGAAGCCATTCTCTCCTTTCATCGCGATTCCGCTCATGGGCTCGATGGCATACGCCCCATTTTTCTCCAGGACATCACTTCCCCCTCTACATGCTCACAAACATCCGTTCTCCCCAAATTAACAAACTTCTGCAACAAAATTTTAAACGGTGAGGTTCCAAATTTCGTTTCACCTATCCTCTTTGGTGCCAGGCTAATTGCACTTCAAAAACCTAATAATGATATCAGACCCATTGCTATGGGTTCTACCTTTCGCCGATTAGTAGCCAAGATGATATCATCTCGAATTAAGCATGATGCTTCACGTCTCCTAAGTCCCTTCCAACTTGGTGTAGGAATCTCTGGTGGCTGTGAAGCTGTTGTACATTTGTCCAGATTATATCTTGAAAATTTACCTTCTAATGAATCCTTGATAAAAATTGACTTCTCTAATGCTTACAACACACTCTCCCGGAACTCCTTTTTGAGTTCCTCAAGTAATCTTTTTCCCAGTTACACTAAGTTTTTTTATTCGTGTTATCAACAGCCCTCCACTCTTCTGTTTGATACCTTTAAAATCCCTTCCGTCGAGGACATTCAGCAGGGAGACCCCCTAGGTTCCCTATTCTTTTGTTTAGGTATTAATGACATCATTAAATCCATTAATTCGGTCTGCTCATTATCCTTGCATTCCTGGTACATTGATGATGGTATCCTCGGAGGATCCAATGTTGAAGTCAATAAAGCTGTGAACATCATCAAGGAGGCCGGATCAGCTATAGGACTCTCCATTAATCCAGAGAAACCAGAATTTATCCCTATCAATACAATCGAACCTAATACTAACAAATTCAAACTAACGACTCTTGACGGTCTCTATCATCTGGGAGCCCCTGTTGGTGGTAACTCTGCTATTTCTTTCTTTCTTCAGTCCACTTTAGATACTTTATTAGAGCTGGCAGATTTATTTTCCCTTCTTCCTTCTCATAAAGCCTTTTTCCTGGTGAAATTTTTTTTCAATATTCCCCGTATTCTTTACGCACTTCGCTCAACTGCCATATTTAAATTCCCAATTCTACTTGGAGTTTATGATAATGGGATCAAAATCCTTATCGAAAACATTCTAAATCTTAAATTCGATGAAATTGCTTGGACACAAGCTTCTTTACCCACAAAGATGGGAGGTCTGGGCCTCAGATCTCCATCCGATCTCACCTTAACGGCCTTTATATCCAGTTGCCTACTAACTAAAAACATAATAAATCCCAAATCTTTAAAACCCAACTCTTCTTTTAATGATGTAATCATCGAATGGAGGACACGAATTTATGCGGATCACCCTCTTCCTGAATCTAATAAGCAGAAGGACTGGGATAGGCCTATTATTGCACTCTGCGTTGAATCACTCCTTTCCAGAATGCAATTATCTGACCGTCCCTTATTCTCTTCTTTGCTTAATGGTTCAGGCCATGTTCTCGAGGCCATTCCGTCTATTAATCTACAATTACAACTAAATAAAAACGAGCTCACACATGCAAACGGTATCCGTTTAAATTGCCTTATTACCCAACCCCACATATGTTCAGGTTGCGGCTCCACAGTTTTGGGCAATGGAAGACATAGTATTCATTGTCGCTCATGTAAAGGTCGAATTGTAAGACATAATCTATGCAATTCGATCATTCTTAGAGCTCTCAGATCTGCTCAAATCCCCTCCACTCTTGAACCATCCGGTCTTTACAGATCTGATGAAAAACGGCCTGACGGTATTTCGCAAATTCCTTGGAAGCGCGGTCAATCCCTGGTCTGGGACTATTCTTGTATTGATCCACTCGCTCCATCAAATCAAACAGTCAATATACTCGAGAAAAAGGAGACACTCAAAATAGCGAAATATTCCGAAATCTCTCAAGAATATATTTTCATCCCCATTATTTCCACTACCCTTACCACTTTTGGGTAATATGTCTTATCCTTTTTCAAGGAACTCGGCTCCCACATTCGTCAACTAACCGGTGAACCCCGCGAGGGCTTCTTCTTAAGGCAAAGGCTCTCCATCGCTATACACAAGGCTAATTATATTAGCTTCATAGGCAGTCTCTCCCCACAAGATTATCCTTCCTAACCTCAATATATTTTTTTTAATTTTTTTTAACACCGTCACAAACATATCCTCCAATACTATATTTATTTATTTTTTAAAATGTTTTTTTTTATATGTATATAAATATATATACAAATTCAACTTGTAATTCGTTATACAAAACTTATCTACAATATTTACAATATGTCATTCATTGCTATAACCAGAGAAAATTTCTATCAAAATTTTTAATGTTAAGTTGAATTATTTTATCAAATATAATAAATATATCTACCTTTGAAATACATAAATTTTTATATATTTTACATATAAGTTTTTTTTGTCCAGTATCTTTATATTATGTATAAGCGAAATAGCACAGTTGTTAAAAGAACATTTCTAGATATTGACACGTAGCCATAAAATGTATCTAGATATAAATATAATTTTCCCAAGGTACATTTAAGATACAAATTTTTATTATAATCAAATATGGTGTGCATAATCAAAATTGATAAACTATTGTTAAACCTCACATTTTGAAGTGAACTAAACATTTTTTTTTACAATTTCATATATATTATATATTAAAATATATAATTAATTGATTATAAAATATTCTCGTTGCTCAAAGTTTCCAATTTTTTATTTTTGTTTACAGTAGGTGATTTAACAATTAAACACATTTTAAGCCATTCTAAAATGTATTTCCCTTGGTGCCCTAGAAGGGAATGTTGTACTATATTTTATGAATAACACTTAGAATAAACTTCAAATACAATAAAATCTTAATATTCGTATTCTATAAAAATTCTTCAAATTTTAATGGACTAAAATATTTTATCTTCATCGAGTCTCTAGGAATAGTTAAAGAAAATGAAACAAAAAATCTTTAAAAAAATATATATTTTGAGGGTGCATTATTAATGCTAATAAATTATATTTTTTGGCCATCCATTGCAAATATCTTGTTTGTTTAAATTAAATAAATTCGGGGAGAACTATTACGTTTTTTTAAATTATAAAATGGATAGCTGCCAATTTAATCTTTTTTAGATAATAATTATAGTATTCTAAATAACATTTATCACATTTCCATATACATTCGATTTCGAATCTCCTTTAATAGGCTATGTGTCTGCTTTGTCGATCTTTGCAATTTTTACCTTATTGTGGTCTCCATTTAGGATCATGTTGTAGACGTATCCAGTTTTCTCAATTTCAGCCTCTTCTATTTAAGAGATTTTTCTCTCTAAGTGGTTTTTTTCCAGTTCTTATCGGACCTAGCTCCAAATTTTCTTCCTCCTTTCCTGACTTTCCATTTCTTTGGCCCTGTCCCTTTTTCTCAGTTGATGGGCATGTAATCGTATGGATTTATCGTTGCTTTCTACTGAATATGAATCTACTAGGTAAGGATTTTATAATCCTTCCTTCCATCCGTAATTGATTTCAGTGTGTAATCACACTGGTTATAGTGTCACAAACTCTCTCATTTGAGTGTGTTCGTCATGAGTCCACTCTCGTTATTACTTGCTCATTCCATCTCATCCATAATGAATGGACGTAATCAATCTAGTTTTCGATTTTGCCCCTATTAGCATGAAGGTCCAGTCAATTGATCAGTGCGGACATCTGCTCACATAAGAAAATATCGACCTTTCAGTATTCCTAATGTAATTTGAGATGATATGGTGTTGAATGTATTAATTTAATATCTTCTAGAGTACAAGATCCTCGGAACTCTCCAGAAATAAATTAATGCTTATTATCTGAAACAATCTGTCCTAACGTTCCAAACGCCGTAACCATTTTTTTAATGGCTTGATCTTCGCTAGAAATGTGGTTTTCTCACGTTAACTCGACCTATACCTGTTTGGGATGTGCATAAATTCCAACTAACGATGAATATACATGCATAGGTTCAGCAAAAAATTCAAATGAATGTGTTCTCATGGTGTATTATAGTGATGTTTCAATTATAAAGAAACCTTCCTTATGATTGTCTTATTAATTTGAAAATGTCTACTTTGACGAATATGTTGTTTGAAGCCAAACAGTTGGAATTATAGATCTTCCATTCCATTCAATCCTTATGTGGCCAGGATTTTGGTAAGAGAGAAAGAACTATTAGGTGAGTTTTTTATTGCAGGTATTTTGCTATATTAAAACTCTATAAAAATAATTTTGGGTTTTCACTTTTTTTCTAGAAATTTTGAACTATAATCGTTAATTAAAAATCTATTAACTTTACTAGTTTTTCATTCAAATTTTTCTTTATAGTGATTTATTGTATACATTTTAGGGAGAGAGGGTGTGATGGGTGTATAGGAGGGAGTTTTATTAGCTTAAATGATTTTTACGAAAACAAGATAATTTCTGAGGGTGGATTTCTCCTTGCCCCCCCCCCCCCCCAATGGCCACGCTATGCATTGAATAATGTATCCTCCCAATAATTATTAAAACAAAATAATCCCGAATCATTTTTGGCATATCCTATCCATATACGATCTATGTGTTTAATTACTCAATTTAGCAATTTATCTTTTCTCGTTTCTCTTCGGAGTTTAATTTGGGTTAGATTAATATATATTTTTTAGTGATCATTTTGTTCCATTGCTATTGGGAGTCTTGATAACGTATCTGCGAGTATTTTTTCCTTCGCTCGACAATGGTAGATATTTTCTATGCAAAAAGAGTTAGTCTACTCATATATTTTGGGTAACTTACGTTTATCATATAGTTTTTTAAGGGTTTGTGCTCTAAATGCATAAAAATTTTCTACCATCGATAAGTATAAATTTTTTATTCCAACCAAATTCGTTCTATTGAGGCATTTTTTTCTCCGACTCTAATAGTTCCCGATGCAAAAAGTTTTGTTTGCTATAACCGTTTGACATTGGGCATAGTAGGAGAGCCCCTAAATTAGTGTTGAGTGCATAACATTTCAATCTTATCGAGAAGTCTGGAGAATATTAAATTAATGCCTGATCTGTAAATGAATGTTGTTCCTTGTAAGACCAAAACCAAAAACTTTTAACACTTGATCGGTGCGGATATACCGTGTTGTAATTGCGATATAAATCATTGATGAGAGTTGGCAAGTCGAAAGGATTGTAACTGTTCTATATTTATAGGGGTTGGAACCATGCGAATGATATTTTTTCCCTGAGCTGGGTGAATGTCATTTTTATTAGCAGGAAGGAAACAGATTATTTTAGAAACATATTTTTGACGATCTCATTTTATCATAGATTAGTTCTTTTAAGATCCTTAAGGCCTCATCCCAGCCAAATTACTAATTCCCGTGTGAATAATATTTTTTTGGTTACATTATGCACCAATATTCCTCTTATATCTAAAATTTCATCAATATGATCTTGAAAATTGTTGTTTATCAAATTTTATTTGAGTTATATTTACTGCTTCTATACTCTTTTGCACCCACATCAAAGCTGTTGATTATAATTTGATTCATCATTCTTATTCATTAATTAGAATGATTGGTTCATTACTTTTAAACCATTACAATGTTTGGTTTTTCATGTTTCTGTTCTTTTTATTACTATATTCTTATTATCTATTTTTATATACAGATACATTTTATAAATATATATCTAGGATAAGATACATATTTCTTGTTTTTTTGACTCAATACATGATTATAATTTTTTTAAAAAAAATATATAGATAAGAAATAAATTCCTACAACTTAATCAATTATTAATTTAACAAGTATAAAAATTCATTTATAAATGTTTGATGACACCTATGTAAATAAGACTCAAACTAATTATACTCTACTAAAATGTCTATATTTATTTTTTTTTAAAAAATATGTTGTATTTGTATTAATTATTAAATAGATATTTGAATTTCGATTGTATTAAAAAATAAACTTTACAAAAAAAGAGAGGATACATACAATGTAAAGTTAATTATCGATAGGAAAAAAAATATATAAAGAGTATTATATAAATGAAATCTAAACAGCTACAGCAGTCTTCTTTTTTTTAGTTTAAAATCTATAATTTTTGTTTTTTTAACAATAAACTTTTATTATTAATAGAATTTGCTTTTTTTATAAAGTTAAATTTTTAATTTAAATATATATAATATTTTTAAAAAAAATAAAAATAAAAAATCATCCTGAGATAAGAAATGTTTCATTTTTATTTTAATTATATTTTAAAAAGTAGAGGTGTTTCATGAAGTTTTATGTAAAAATAAAATAAAAAATAGTGTGTAAGTTTTATTTTGAAACATTATGTATTAAGGAATAAAAGAAAAATATAACAATATAAAAATTATTATATTATATACTACGATTTATCTATTATGTAAAAAAAATGGCAATTTGTAACATTCTTTATTATTATTTATAAATCAAAATATCATAAAATATAGATAAATGATTAGACAATAATCTTTTTAAAAAAATATATATATCAAACTTATGGGATAAAAACTAAATTTTTTTTATATAAAAATTTCCCTGTTAACTAATAAAAAGAAAAAGCTAGTAATTAAGCAACTTTAATTTTATTTAAAAATATTCTTGCTAGACTGCAATATAATTGTCAGATGATATGATAATAATTTTAATTTTACGCCCCTTTTTTTGAGAATTTTGCATTATTTATCAAAAAAAAAAATTTTACAAAAAAAACGATGAAAGAAGGGGTCAAAATGTTGGAAATTTTAGTAAAAAAAGGGACAAAATTTAATAAACGACAATGTTACATGAATTTCTAAAGCAAATTGAAAAGGAATGTTACTTCTATATGCCACTACTATATTTCAGTTCTTATCACTCCAGTTCTTGATTGATCGGCCTATTCTGATTACAGCACGAAAAGTATCTTCTAGATGTCATCGTAAAGTAAAGACTTTTAAATATATAAGTATTTTTACAGGTGTCGGGCGACAAATATAAATTCCGAACCGGATAACTTGTGCAATATATTTAAATAATATATTACCCCCCCCCCCTCCCTTCATTTTAATTTTGGGCTTCCCGAAATCTTATAGTGTCCTAGCTAACAATTTTTTTTCACACCCCTGCTCTAAAATAAATATTTTAGAATTTAATAGTTAGTAGGGCAACTCGGCGTCAGTATAATAATTAGATTCAGTAGCGTCACTAGGGGGGGGGGGGTGAATGCGCATAAGAGAAAAAAGGGTGATTTTGAAATGAGCTCAATGAGATTTTAAAAGCTAGTGATGCCACTGATGAGACTAGGACACAATCTGTATCTTTATATTTTTATACTTGTACAAAATTAAGAAATCTGTAACAAAACATTATTGCTTCCTCCTTTTTTTTTGTTGATTTACTTATCTTTATCTTATTCTTATCTGGTATAATAATAATATTTTGAAGAACATTTGTTTTTATGGTGCAAATTTATTTTTTTGAATATCATCCTTCATCCATAAAAAACACATATTTGTGCTAGTAAAAAAAAAATAATAAAAAATTATACAAAATTTTATTAAAATTTTATCGCTAATGAGAGAGAATAAAGTATGTTGAATTTCTAGTTGAGTTAATGAGATGCTAAATAAAAAATATAAGAGCAAATAAATAACTAATAATTATTATGCTGAAAATGTAGTTAATAAAATGTTTTTTATAATTGGTACGTTAATAATGAAAAGTATAATTCTAAATTGAAGTCGAGGCATTTTCTGGCTTGTGGTCAGCATAATATTGAGTTATCGTTTTTTGTACCATCATGGCGTCTTGAGGATTTTCCTGTGGACAGGTAGTACTATTAGATGGGGTTGCCATAAGTTTTATTCAGGACTTTAATTTAAACCTTTTACTCAATCATATACTTTTGTGGGTTTCACTTTTTTATATAAAAAATTTTGAATTAAAGTTTGTTATTTTTTAAAAAAGAAATATCTTATACATTTTATGGAAGGAGGGGGCGGGGGTGTAGTGGGAAAATTTTTATTACCTTAAAATTATAATTATTAGAACAAACAAATTCTCGATGAGGGATGAGGGGTCCTACTTCCCCACCCCTTGTTTAAGCGCCTGTGTGCTATATACGTTATAATACACCATCACATCATTTGGTTGCAGAATACGTGTTGGTTTTTATTATCCATAGATAAATATTCCCATTTAAATATCATCATTGTTATAAAAATATTAACTTAAAGCAGTTTATTTTCTTTGTTACTCGCTCAGAAACATTATTTAAAAAGAAAGGATTATTATTTTTACAATTATCAAAAATAAAATCCCAGATTGTCTAACTAACCCTTAATCTTATAGAAACAAATCGTTACCACGTATTTATTACAAAATAAGGTCATAGTTTATCAAAAAAAAATAATATTATTATCACTATTAATACTAATAAGGAATGAAAAAAGGGGCAGTTATACTTACTATATTAAATTTTAATCAAAATTTTATAGTTTAAAAAAATTAAAATATATAGAAGTCAGCTATTTTTAATGTCATTGGCTGTAGACATCATTCCACTTACGAATCCAGGATTTGGCTAAGGGAGGGGGAGGTGGGAGCACTATTAGGTGAATTTTTTCCCCATGAATTTTATTGGAGATTTTTAAGTCTACTTATTGTAGGCCTTTGGCTACATTAGATTTTTATAAAAATAATCTTGAGTTTTCACTTTTTTTTTTGTTTTTAAAATGCTTTAAAAATTTTGAATTATAGTCGTTATTTAAAAAAGTTGCTAATTTTTCTTTCAAATTCTTTCTTATAATGATATATTTTATATATTTTTTAGGGAGAGGAGGGTCGAGAGTTTGATGATAGGGGGGGGGGATTTTTATTAGCTTAAGATATAAGAACAAACAAATTTGTGATGGGGGGGGTGGATACTCTCCTGCATCATTCAGTGAAAAACATTTCATATGAAATGCATTTTAATGGCCTACCTCAATGAATAAATACACTTTTTAATGTACTTTGGAGAATAAATCATCCCGTATTAGTATTAATGTCCGTGATATTAATATACAAAGTGAAACTTCCATCCATAAGGTGATAACTTATAGGCTATTGAGGCCCCAAATTCGGCCCCATCGGATCGGGCAACTTTTGTAAAATATTTCCATGGGCCGGACTAAAAAATCCGATCAGAAATTTCTACTCGACCTTCAATTCACTCAACCAGGGCAAAAATGACCTGAAGAGATTTAAGATAGCGATAGAGGTGACCTATGTATTTCAATATAAAATTATGTCCTTTTTTTTTAAAATTTAAAAGATGCAAAATTTGAACTTAATCTTTAACACCCATTTAATTAATTAATTTTTTACTACATATATAACAAAATTTGTCGAGAAGATTTATTCTCAAATCTGGATTTAAATCATGTTTTTCATATCTTCGAAACTAATGTTGTTAAACGGCTCGATTTGAGTCGATTTTTAACGGCCAACTCAACATTATAGCCAGGAAAATATTGCCTAAGCGTCAAGATTTCGCCAATAGATGTTCAATTCTATGTGCTATCTATGAGAAAATTCTTTAGGCTTGCAGAATATTTTTCTGGATAAAATATTGAGTTAGCCGTTTTTAAAAATCGGCTCAAATTGATCCGTTTAGCAACACTATTCTAAACGGCCGAATCAATCCTTATATTTTTCAATGAAATATAAAATCTCAACATTTTTTTTTAATATAAGATTTTTTTTTTAACACATAAAAAAAATACATAAAATATTTAAATTAAAAAAAATTTTTCATTAATTTATTATTATTACATAAATTTTCATTTTTATCTTCATAAATTTTTTTTTTAATATTTAAATATATATAGTTCAATTATTCACATAGGAATAATAAATTAAATCTTTTACCCAAAAACAGAAAAATTTTATTTCGTTATCTATAAAATATGTAAGATGGTTTTTTATATAATAAAAAAAAAGATAAGTGTCGTCTCGTGAGTGATGCTATCATGCCATTGCCATGCTTCAAGATAGTTCTCCCTTTATTTTTCAAAAAAAAAATTAAAATAATATTTTCCAATTGTAATATTATTAGTATAATGTAGTATATAATAAAATAAAATAAAATAAAATTAAACAGGAAAAGGAAAAAAAAAATGTTTTATCATTTAAATCCAAAAGTAATGCTAAAAAGAAATGGGCCGGGCCAAGCTTAGAGAAGGCTAGCGAAAAAATTCACAACTAGGCCTGATGCCGGATTAAAAGGGTGAATCTCTTCCAAAAGTTTATAATAATACTCTTATCATATAGAGTTCGAATAGCATACGATTTTATTATAGATCCCTTAATTTATGTCCTTCAATCTTTTTCTTTCTCTATCATTTAATCAAATTACCTGTTAGGCTCCATCCGTGCCATATGGACATCCTTCACCAATCAATGACACCGAGGCCTCTCTGTTTGATTATAAAATTTCTTTCAACTAGATCATCTTGAGTGAAGGTCATTTTTTGGCCAGTCATCACCTTTTACTATTTTATTTAAACAATATATTATTAATATGAATTTTAAAGATATAGAATATATTTATATCAGAGACTTATCCAAGTCAAAGCCAAACTGTTATTTTTTTACCTGAACCCAAATCGATATTCCTCCGTTTTGGTTCAGGTCCTGACTTAAATTAATAATGTTTACTATTTATAAATATTAAAAACCTATTATTATATATATTATAAATTATTTTATTATAAAATAGAAAAAGGAATAATAGTCATTTATATAGTTAATAAAAATTTCACTTTATGATGATTAATGGTCATTGCCACTGGCGCATCCATAATTTTGCGGGGAGGGAGGCACTGTTAGGTAAATTCCTGTAAATTTTGTCGGAGATATTTAAGTCCACTAATTGTAGGTCTTTTTGGATATTAGATTTTTAAACAAATAATGTTGGGTTTTCACCTTTTTTTGTTAAAATGCTTTTTTCAAATTCTTCCTCGTAAATTATATATTGGGGAGAGGAGGGTGTGGGAATATTTATTAGTTTAAAATGATATTTACAAAAAAGGAGAAATTTGCGATGAAGGAGGGGAGGGGCATTTGTTACTCGCTTGTCCATTGCCTTCGTTTATTATTATTTAATGGTCTATATATGGTGTTTGTTTAATTAATAAAGCATTTAATTTTCGATTTTTTATGTGAATATTAAGGATTCTATCTTTATAAAATTTTATAAATTTGAATGGCTAAAATCTTTGCTAGCAAAAAAATGGGTGGGGGAGGGGTGGTTGATTGTTTTTATTCAACAGGATACTAATTTTTAAAATATGAATTTTTTATTGGATTAATTCAATCAAATAAACGAACATATATATGGTACATACATGCGTGGTTATACATATTTTGTAGAAATTTTTAGAAATTAATCGAATAGATAAGTAGTTAGATGGGGCGGCCCCACTATGGTTATTTATCCGCAGTCTCTTCTACCTCCTGAGATTTTAATGATGCCATTATCGTATTCCCTGTGTCGGAGGGCTTTGGCTTCATATGACCCCTTCTTCTCTTAATTTCAATTTCTAACTTCGCTATCTTCTTTACACTTTATAAAAGGTCAGTCCCAGTACAACTCCTATTTAAAAATGATCTTATTAAAATGATTTCTATTATGTTCACCAAAATATAAGCGCCCTTGAATGATCAATTATAGAGGTTTCGTTTGTATAATAAAAATCTTATTAATAAATTAATATATTTTATTTTAAGTTTTTTTTATTGATCATAAAAATTTAATAAAAATTTTTTTTTCATAAATAAAAATATCTCATTAAATTTTATTAAAATATTTCTTGAGTTTTTATATTTAATATATATTAAGACTAATACTAAAAGTGCTTTGAAAGTGTTGATTCTAATAAAAGATTTAATTATAATAATAA